CTACTGAATGTGTGGCCGCCTGGGGAAAGGATTACTTTGAGCAGGCCAAGGGACTGCCCTGGATTTCACAAGGGCTTCTTTCAGTCTGGTGTACTCTATTCAGTCACGTGGTAACTGTGTGTCTCATGTGTAGATGAACAAGAGAACTGGACAGCCCATGATCCACATCTACCTGGACAAGGAAACAGGAAAGCCCAAAGGGGACGCCACAGTGTCCTATGAAGACCCACCAACCGCCAAGGCTGCCGTGGAGTGGTTTGATGGTAGGATGCACTTGTAGGGTTGACTTGCAGGAAAGTGAAGGGCTTGCTAACGTCGGATGCTGTTGAGAGCGGCACTCTATAAAGCTTAGAGGACGTAGTCTTTGTACAACCACAGAGAGCCGCGGGAGGGAGGAGCTTGAGAGCCATGGGACAAGAGGACCTGTCTCCTCTGTGGGAAGCCCTGAGTAGGCACAGTTACTGACCTGGATTGGGAGGTCCCTTTAATGTTAGGTGTTACTACAGCCCACCTGGCTAAAGAGCAAGGTTTCTAAATAGGTAGTATCAGCGTACCCAGAGTGCCATCTCAGCTGGGCCCCGGGGAGGTCTGGAGAAGGGAGTTCTGCAGGCCCCATCTCCAAAATCGCCAGAGGAAAATGGGCTGGAGGTGTGCCTCAAGGAGAAGAGTGCCTGCTTTGCAAGTGCAGCAAAGCCCTGAGTGCAAACCCCAGCCCCTGCAAACATACATGAAGTATCATCTTAGGGCTAAGAGTGTAGATAGGTGGTGTAGAGAATTTGTCTGGCTTGCTCAAGGCCCTGAGTTTGATCTCCAGCACCACAGAAAAGACACAACCGAAACCCTTACCCGGTGAACATTTATGTATTGAAGACTTTTACCTGGACACTGGAATTTCACTTCAAACCAAACCTACGTGAATGTCCGTGTCCGAGTTCTGTCTTCACTAACTCAGCTCCATGCTGCTTACCCCTTACCCTGTGCTGTGCAAACATCCTGGGGTTCAGCCTGCCTCCCGCCAGCCAGCTCTCTTCCTTGGGGTAGAGAAGGGGGTTTGGTATCTTTAAGTCTTTTTCTGCTCCCCAGTAAAGCCCTTAGAGATGATGGGCGGGCAGGCTGGAGGCTGTGAGGGTGGCTGAGTCTGGTGAGTGCTGGGTCTCTAGCTTTCTCCAGTCCCTCGCAGAGAAGAGTGGTCTTGGGAATCGCTGACATCGTGTCATCTTGTTCCAGGGAAAGATTTCCAAGGAAGCAAACTTAAAGTCTCTCTTGCCCGAAAGAAGCCTCCCATGAACAGCATGCGGGGTGGCATGCCGCCGCGTGAGGGCAGAGGAGTGCCGCCCCCGCTCCGCGGAGGTACTGCAGACACCCTCCCTAAGCTGCTTGTTGCTGTACTTTGCACCCTTGGGTGAGGAGGAAGCAGAGCGATGCGGTCGGTAGTGTGAGAGCAGGTAGCAAACGTCTATAGACAGCTGTCATTAGAGAGGCTGGACGCACCACGAGGCCGCTGCCTGTACCTCTTGCTGTGGCCTCGCTGACTGTGAAAGTGCTAGAATTGCAGAGCCGAATGAGATCGCCCTCTGCACGGGGCCTGGCAGATGGGGCGGATGGAGCAGGAGCCTGAGCGAGGCCCTGGGCGGCCTGTGGAGGGGTTGTGGTTCCTGGAACAAGGCTCTCCTATGAAGAGGTAATTGCTGCTTCTTACTGCAGGTCCAGGTGGCCCGGGAGGGCCTGGGGGACCCATGGGTCGCATGGGAGGCCGTGGAGGAGACAGAGGAGGCTTCCCCTCAAGAGGACCCCGGGGCTCCCGAGGGAACCCCTCTGGAGGAGGGAATGTCCAGCACCGAGCAGGAGACTGGCAGTGTCCCAATCCGTATGTATTTCCCTTTGCAAGCTGTTAACTGTGCTGGTGACACCCCACCCCACCCCACTCCGGGGAATACTGCCGCTCTGCTCTGCGCAGAGGAGCGTGCTGGTGACCTCATGACTGGGTGGGGCGAGCCACCGAGACCTGTGCCTAAGGTGGGTGTGCTGCCTAGTGAAGAGCGTCACCTTAGCTCCCTCACCTTCCTCAGTCCATCGCTGATTTCTGCTGTGTGTGACTTTATGCAGGGGCTGTGGAAACCAGAACTTCGCCTGGAGAACAGAATGCAACCAGTGTAAGGCCCCAAAGCCTGAGGGCTTCCTCCCGCCACCCTTCCCACCTCCGGGTAGGTACAGGCTTCCGGGGCGCCGCCCCCGCCCCTGCCGCTAACCTTTTCTGTGTAAGCTGCAGCTGCCCTGTGGCATTTCTGAATTGTCACCCAGATGTGGATTGAATGAAGTGTCTGCTTTGTGTCTGGCCTGGGAAAAGGAGGCGGGTCCCCATCCACAGCCTGTCCTCAGCTCAGCCTCTAATGCCCTTTCCTTACCTCAGGTGGTGACCGTGGCCGAGGTGGCCCTGGTGGCATGCGAGGAGGCAGAGGTGGCCTCATGGACCGCGGTGGTCCTGGCGGAATGTTCAGAGGTGGCCGTGGTGGAGACAGAGGTGGCTTCCGTGGTGGCCGTGGCATGGACCGAGGTGGCTTTGGCGGAGGAAGGCGAGGTGGTCCAGGGGGGCCCCCCGGACCTTTGATGGAACAGATGGGAGGAAGAAGAGGCGGACGTGGAGGACCCGGGAAGATGGATAAGTATGTGATGGGGGAGCCCAGCCCCTTTCCAGCCCGACTGCAGTGAGGCCAGGTGGCGTCGGTGTTGGCGATGTCACTTGGCACTGGGGGTTCTTTCGGGCTTGCTGTCCCTTGCCCACTGTAACCACAGGCCCTTTGCCTTGCAGAGGTGAGCACCGCCAGGAGCGCAGAGACCGGCCCTACTAGACACACCCCGCAGAGCTGCAGTGACTACCAGATTTATTTTTTAAACCAGAAAATGTTTTAAATTTATAATTCCGTATTTATAATGTTGGCCCCAACATTATGATTGTTCCTTGTCTGTACTTTAGGCTTTTTCACCATTTGTGAAGAAACATTAAAACAAGTTAAATGGTAGTGTGCCGAGTTTTCTTTCTTTTCAAGATGGTTGTTTAAGACTTCAGCACGGGAACCCTTGTGAGCATGCTCCGTGTCTGGAGAACCAAGGGGCCTCTAACTGTAACCGCGGTCATGATTGTGACGTTTTTTGTTTTGTCTTTTTTTTTTTTTTTTTTTTTTTTTTTTAAATAAAATTCCAAATGTTTATAAACAGTCATCTTCTCGGCCTCTGTTCCGCAGTTGCACAGCTCTGGCCCTGGGTGCAGGCGTCCGCCCAGGTCAGAGAGGGAGCGCCTGGAACGATGGGGACATGACCAGTGGAGCAGCACGCTGCAGGCCACAGAAACAGGCCGATGCGCCCTGTCCACCGGGCTGGGGAAGGGACAGAAGTGTGGGCCCAGTGAGAACCACCTGTGCCCTCTGCAGGTGGGCAGGACGGGTCCTCTGCTCTGGCCCCTGGCCCTCTGCACCTGGCTAGGACAAAGGTGAAGGCAGTTTCCTGCAGGGGGTACTTTGACCTGTCACCCTCCCTGCACGGTTCCTCCCTCTCCAGATCACTGAGATCCCGAGCACCCACGTCTTCCGCCTTGCCAGGTCCTGCCATTGCCGCCCTCTTCTGACCCGCCATCTGCTGCTCCTGCTGCTGACCTGAAAGCAGGGCTTCGTCCCATGCCATCAAGCATTTGTCCCGAACCCTCCTGCTCCCTCCTGCACCGCACCAGCGTCCAAGCCAGTCCATCAAGCTGCCCAGAAATCACATCCTTCTTCCCCACTACTGCCACCATGGTCACCCGGCCCCCTGCCCTTCCCTCAGGCCAGGGTGGCAGAAGGACCCTGCATTTTTCTCAACTCTGATGTAAGCACAAAGTCCCCCTGACACTCTGGGATCTTAATTCCACCCCCCTCTGCTCCCCACGCTACAGCCAGCCAGCAGCTGGGCCAGGATTCAGCCCTGTTCTGCTGTGTCCAGACCCCCAAACAGGAATCGGGTTCCTGCGGAGCTGCTGGCTGCACACGTGCCTCAGTGGTAAAATGGGGACATATAAAAGTTACCTTAGCCGGGCACTGGAGCTCACGTCTGTAATCCTAGCTACTCAGGAGTCAGAGATCAAGAGGCTTGAGGTTTGAGGCCAGCCTGGGCTAATAGTTTAATAAGAGGCCCTGTATGGAAAATACCCAGTATCTCAAATGGTACAGCGCCTGCCCAGCAAGCGTGAGGCCCTGAGTTCAAACTCTGGTACTGCCCAAGAAAGAAGGTGAAGTAGATTCCTTGTGACTGTGGTCTCCACCATGGTCCCCCCCAGGCAGGGACCCCTGGTCCCGCCCTCCCAGTGCTCAGCTCAGCAAACCCGGATCAACGGGGCCCAGGAGGCTGTGCCCGGAAGTCTTCCTACTTGGGAGGCCGAGATGGGGGCTCGAGGTTCGAGACCAGCCTGGGCGGATAGTTCTCGAGACCCCATCTCCAAAATAAGCAGAGCAATATGGACGGGCGTGTGTGTGGCCCAAGTGGTCAAGCGCCTGCTTTGCAACATGAGGCCCCGAGTTCAAACCCCAGCCCCACCAGAAACAGTTCCACCTTGCCCGTGTCCCATTCTGGGCAGCAGTGTCCCTCAAAACGGGGACTGCCCAGTCCCTTGTCAGGGGCACCACACGGGGAGGCCGGGCCGGCAGCGTCCTCATCCGTCCGCCGCGTCCCCTCGCCGCGGGCTGGAGCCCCATCCTCCCCGGGCGGCGCGCTTATCTCCCGGCCGCGGAGGTGACTGCGCAGCCCCCGGCCCCTATCGCTTCCTGCCGCAGCCCGGGGACGGGCCGTGCCGGGGAGGCCACGGCCGGGGAGGGGGACGGGGCGTGGCCTGGACGCGGGTCCCCGGCGCACCGCCCAGGAGAGGCGCGGCCCCTTTAAGAGCGCGCGGCCCCGCCCACCCAGGCGGGCCGGATCCGAATTCCAGGGAGGCGGGGCGGGGACGGCGGCGGCGGCGCAGCTGCGATCGGCCGGGCTCGGGCGGCGCCTCTCGGCCCCCGGCTCCGGCCCCGCCGGGGCGATGCTCCCCGGGGCCGCGGGATGAGCCAGGTGAGTGCGGGGATCGGCGCGGACGCGGCCTCGCGCCCCCAGGGCTGTGTGACCTTGCGCGGCCCGGCTCCCTCTCTGGGCGCCCCGGCTCGCGGAGGCCATTCGCAATCCCGGCCTGGTGCCCTGCGACCTTCAGCGATCTCCTTCCCCTCCTTGCCTCAGTTTCCCCGTCTGTAAAATGGAGATCATGGCTATCGCTGCTGTTCTATGGGCGAGTTGAGGGAGGTGGGGACAAGGCCTCTTGAGGTGTCTGGGGACCCAGGCTATGTTCCTCCGTGGCCACCATCCTGCGGCCGGGGGTGGGGAAGGGGGGAATGGGGCCGGTCCCCACCCCAGCAGGCACTCGGTTGTGGGCAACAGTTGTTCCTTTGAGGCGCAGGGGACCTTACTGTACCCATTTCACAGATGAGGAAACTGAGGCACAGGAAGGGGACAGGGAGGGCGCTCACAGCCTGCCCTTCAACCAGGCACTTGGCCCGAGGGGACAGGTGGATGCAGGTGGTCAGCGCTGAGCGCTCTGCTGAGTCCTCACTGCAGTCCTGACCCGTGTCCCTGTCCGCAGTGACTCGGCCGGCCCCGGGCATGGCGGATCCAGTGTCCAGCATCGCGGGCTCGGCAGCCAAGAGCGTGCGGCCTTTCCGCTCCAGTGAGGCCTACGTGGAGGCCATGAAGGAAGACCTGGCCGAGTGGCTCAACGCCCTGTACGGCCTGGGTCTGCCCAGCGGTGGCGATGGCTTCCTGACCGGGCTGGCCACGGGCACCACCCTGTGCCGACACGCCAACGCTGTCACCGAGGCCGCCCAAGCTCTGGCCGCCACTCGCCCAACCCGAGGTGTGGCCTTCCAGGCACACAGCGTGGCTCCTGGCTCCTTCGTGGCCCGCGACAATGTGGCCACCTTCATCGGCTGGTGCCGGACGGAGCTGGGCGTGCCCGAGGTGCTGATGTTCGAGACCGAGGACCTGGTCCTGCGGAAGAACGAGAAGAGTGTCGTGCTGTGCCTGCTGGAGGTGGCGCGGCGCGGCGCCCGCCTGGGCCTGCTGGCCCCGCGCCTCGTGCAGTTTGAGCAGGAGATTGAGCAGGAGCTGCGAGCTGCGCCCCCGGCCCCCAACACCCCCGCTGCTGGGGACCACGTCACCGAGACCGCCACTGCACCGGGGGCCCCCACTCGTGGACCCCGCATGACTCCCAGTGACCTGCGCAACCTGGACGAGCTGGTGAGTGGGACGGGACGTGTGCACCGCAGGCCCCTAGATCTGTCTGCAGAGCCGGTGCCACAGCCTGTCGCCGCACCTTGTGGGGGGAAAGGTGCATATGGTGAGCACCAAGTGTGTACCCGCCCTCGAAGAAGTGGGCCCAGACAGGGCCAGATCGAAATACCCAGCAAGCGCTGCGCGCTCCTCCTCCCGACAAGGACTTGGGCACCTCCTCTCTGCCCTCTGCCCTCGGGTGCCACACGAGTGTCTGCAACCCCTGAGCTCAGGGTTGGGTGGGTGCCACCCTTGGCCGAGAGGAGGTGGGCCGGGCGCCTGGCACCCTGCACCTATGGCTACTGCGCTGCTCGTGGGAACAGGAATCGCTGTTGTTGGGAGGAATTTGAACTTGGGAGGTGCCCAGCTCCCAGCTCTGTCCCTCCTTCCCAGGACCTGGGTGTCCCTGCCACCCCACCGCAGCAGGGCTAAAAGTTTCCTTCTTATCAGGAACTCAGGACTCCGATGTGCCTGGCCAGCAGGCGGGCAGCCGGACGCTGTGGGCACAGGGGCTGCCCCACCCCCAGCCCGGACCCGGGTCATTCCACGTCCCACCTGCTCATTTCCTGTGGCGCCATGGCTGTGGGCAGGGAATCGGGCAGGGCCTCCCAGTAGCCAGCCTGGCAGCGCCGGCCCAGTGTGACTTGTGTGCTCGCCAGGCGGGTGGCCTGTGTGTGTGTGTCCCACGTGTTGCAGGGCCGCCTCCATCCATGCTCAGCCAAGGGAACAGCCCCTCTGGACTCTGTCCTGTGACCTGCCTCCTCCCAGGGAACCTCCGCCTGTCCTCTGTGCCATGGTGCAGAGGGCTTAAGGGCTTCGAGGACGTTCCTTATTGGGGAGCCCCCACCCTAGCCTGATCACAGCCCCATCATATCCTGGTCAACTTCCTGGACCCTGCCAGGAAGGGAAAAGCTGGGAGTGGTGGCGCGTGCCTGTAATCCCAGCACGTAGCAAGACCCTGTTCCCAAAAAGCAAAAAAGGACAGCGGGGGAGCCGGTGTGTGGAAGCTGTTCCCACGTCTGGGGCAGCACAGTGTCCATCCCCTCATGGCCCGGAAGCACTTACTTCCTGCCGACCCAGGAGGGACAACCCCTGACCCCCGGCCTCCTGTCTCTGGCCTCAGGTGAGGGAGATCCTGGGCCACTGCGCGTGTCCAGACCAGTTCCCCATGATCAAGGTGTCGGAGGGGAAGTACCGGGTGGGAGACTCCAGCCTGCTCATCTTCGTGCGCGTAAGGCCACCTTGAGCCCAAACCCGGGGGCGGCTGGCGGGGACAGGGGACACAGCGTGACCAGGCCACACCGGCCCGCAGGTGCTCAGGAGCCACGTGATGGTGCGCGTGGGCGGCGGCTGGGACACCCTCGAGCACTACCTGGACAAGCATGACCCCTGTCGCTGCTCCTCCGCTGGTCAGTGGCCCGGTGGGCAGGGACAAAGAGGGAGGGGCTGCGCTCTGAGCCTCAGGCTCTGTCCCTCACGTGTCACCTGCCCCCCACCCCGTTCTTCCCACAGCCCACCGCCTGCCCCCGCCCAGGACCCGCACTTTCTCCCCCCAGAGAGTGTCACCTGTCCCCAGCCCCCGCCCCGGCAGCCCCATCCCCGGCAACGAGCGCCGGGGCTCCCGGCCGGAGGTGACTCCGCTGAGTTCACGAAGCACAAAGGAGGGGCCCGAGCCCCCGGCCAGGTGAGGCGGCGCCCCGCGGGGACCCGGGCCGAGTGGCCCTGCGGTGGGGGAGGGGCGTCCGTCCCCCGGGCCGGGAGGACACAGTGACTCACAGCCTGGGAAAAGTTCCCGTGGGTGGGGACGGGCCGGGCTTCCCGTCTCCATGGCAACCCAGCCAAACCAACAACACAGCCCGGGCGAGTCCCGGGGGCTGGGCGACCGCCACCGCCACCCCGGCTTCCTCCCGGGCGGCCCTGGGGGCGTCCGGAGGCCTGGGGATGGGGAGGCCAAATGACCAGGCGTCGTCATTTTCTTCCGCTGCCTCCCGGGCCCTGGGTGGCCGCAGGAAGCTGCTTGCTGCGGGGCCGCTCACTTCTCCCTGGAAGTCCCCAGGACGCAGGAGGCCTTGTCACCTCCCACCGGGAACCCCTGTCCGTCTGTCCCATCTCCCGCCCCTGCCCCTCTGCTCAGTGTCGCCCCCTCTCTCTCTTGTCCCCCGCCCCAGACCCCGGGACCAGCTGCCCCCCCTGCCCCGCTCCCGTCGCTACTCCGGGGACAGCGACTCTTCGGCCTCCTCTGCCCAGAGCGGCCCCCTCGGTGCCCGCAGTGACGACGCCGCCCCCGGCCCGCGGAGGGAGCGGCCCAGCCGGCGGCTGACCACTGGGCCCCCGGCGTCCCCACGCCGGCCACCCGGCCCACGCAGCCAGTCCCGAGACCGAGTGGATCGGGGACGACCTCGGGGGACCCCGGGGGGCCGAGGAGCCCAGACGGCGGCCCCCAGCCCCGCGCGGCGCGCCCGCAGCCAGAGCCGCGACGCACAGGCCGTGCTGCTCGTGCGCAGGGACCGCGACGGCCAGCACTCGTGGGTGACCCGGGGCGGGGGCGGGGGCTCGGGCGCCAGCACCCCGCACACCCCGCGAGCCCGCAGCCCCGCAGCGCCCCGCCCGCCCCCGCCGCCCCCCCACCGCCCGCCCCGCCCCGGCCCTGCAGTCCCGGTCCCCGCGCGGCCGCCACCCCGGCCAGCGCCTTCCGCACGCCGCTGCAGCTGGACCCGCAGCAGGAGCAGCAGCTGATCCGCCGCCTGGAGGAGGAGTTCCTGGCCAATGCCCGCGCCCTCGAGGCCGCGGCCGCGCCAGACCCGCCGGCCCCCGACTCGGCCTACTGCTCCTCCAGCTCGTCCTCCTCGTCCCTCAGCGTCCTGGGTGGCAAGGGTGGCCCGCCCGGGGACCCCAGCCGGACAGCCAACGGGCTGCCCGGGCCCCGCAGCCAAGCCCTGTCCAGCTCTTCCGACGAAGGCGGCGGGGTGGCGCCCGATGCACCTGGCCCGGACCCCTCGTGGACCTGGGCACGGGGGCGGATGGACACGCAGCCAGATCGGAAGCCCTCACGCATCCCCACGCCGCGGGGGCCTCGGCGCCCGTCCGCACCCGCGGAGCTCGGGGCCTGGCGTGCCCTGCACTCGGCCGCCCCAAGGGCCGAGCCAGATTTCTGAATGTGATGGAGCGGCCCAGCTGCTCCCCAGACCCCACCCCAAGTCCTCGTCCTTCATGGCCTTAACCCACCCTCTGCATCAGGGAGCCCCCGACGCCCCTGAGTACCAGACCTCATGGGACCAGACCCCTCGGGACCACGTGGGGGCGGGGATTGCTATTTAATTACTAATATTATTGAATGCCTTAGAGGAGGCCGGGTCAGCCCGGTGTCCTGGGGACCAGTGGTCCAGCCAGAGCCTCTGACAGTAAAGGTTTGCTCCTGCCATCTGTCTGTTTGTTGGGGACTCAGGCTTGGGGTGGGGCCCTCGCACCCTTGGAACCGCCCTCATTTTACAAGTTGACACTCTGGACTTTGTGATCTCCAGGGTTAAGGTCCTGCACTGCCCAGCCCAGAACAGAAAGCCCACGCTCGCGTGAACGGGTTTTTATTACCTCGCGAGAGGCGTGGCTGAAAAAGTGTGTCCAATACAATGCCAGCAGTCTCAGTGCTTCCAATCAGGTTCATGGCCAAGACCGTTCCCATTGGGAATGCGACCCAATGAGGTTCCAGAAAGGACTGGTCTCGTCCAATAGGACGTGAGGTCTGGCTGGATCCAATGAAGTGCCAAAGACAGGCCTGTCGCCCAGGAAACCGGGCGGGAGCTCTCCTTATCCAATCAGGGAGTGGATAATCCTGTCCAATCCGAGTGAAGCTGGGCAGTCTTGTCCAATCCGATCACATGAGGCTGCAACGCGCCGGGTGCAGCGCCCCCTGCAGGCGCAGGGCCGGATGTGCAGGGCGTGCGCGCACCAGCGCGCAGCGCAGAAGCTCGCGGAAGAGACGCAGCACGTGCCAGTTGTACTTGGCCGAGCACTCGAGGTAGCCGCAGCGCCAACCCCTGCGCACCAGGGCGGCCAGCGCACGCCGGGGGCCGAAGCGCAGCCGCTGCCGGTCCCGCTTGTTGCCTACCACGAGGATGGGGGCCTCGGGTGCACCTGCCGGCCTGGGGTGGCCAGATGGGAAGGAGACGCGATGCTGGGGACTCCGCGGTCCCCATGAGTGAACACGCGCAGGCGCATCCCCTCCTACGGCCGGAGACCCCCCCGCCCCTCCCCCCCACACACCCAAAAAACCCGGATGCCAAGACTTCGCACAGCGGGAGACCTTTCCTGGGACTCAAAAGTCTGATCTGGAAGTCCCCAGACCCGGCCCAAGCCTCGGGGCCGCCATGCCAGCAGTGGCGCCCACGCCACCTCCCGCCGCGCACCCACCTGGTCTCGGCGATTCGCTGCCGCAGGGCCTTCACGTAGTCGAAGCTGTCCGGGCTGCAGATGTCGTAGACCAGCACGAAGGCGTCTGTGTCCTGCAAGCTCCAGTCCTTAGGGTCCGGCCACTCCTGGGGGCGGAGGCCGGGCTATGGGGTATGGGGGTCGCTGTTTCCCCCCGTCCTGCTCCCAAGGTTCCCTGCACGGTTCATTCTCAAACCTCGCTCACCCCAAGCTCCCTGCGCCTCCAGATCGTGTCTGAAGCCCGCCAGCCTCCAGCCCTCCTCCTCGCATGGCCTCCATCTTCCTCTTACTGCTCCAGTTTTCCCCAATCGGGTCACTCTCGGACCTACTGGGTGCTATGCCCCTAAGACTCACTGCCAAGCCAGCACACCACTCGCACCTTTGAGCCTGTGGCCCTAAGCACCTGTGATGCTTTTCTTGTTACTTCTCAGATTTTACTCTCAAATCTTCCAGGTTCAGTTCAAATGCACCCCCTCCAGGAAGTCCCCTTAAAAAAAAAAAACGCCTTGCTTTTTCCTCTAAACCTCTCAGAGGCATCCAGCTCCAAAGACTGGAGGTCCATCCATCCATCCACCCATCATCCATCCATCCACCCTCCCATCCATCCATCCATCCACCCACCCATCCATCCATCCACCCACCCACCATCCATCCATCCATCCATCCATCCATCCGCCCATCCATCATCCATCATCCATCCACCCACCCACCCATCCACCCACCCACCCACCATCCATCCATCCACCCATCCATCCATCCACCAATCCATCCATCCGCCCATCCATCCATCCACCCATCCACCCATCCATCCATCCATCCATCCACCCATCCATCCATCCATCCATCCACACACCCATCTGCACACCCATCCACCCATCCACCCATCCATCCACCCAATGTCCACCCACCCATCATCCATCCATCCACCCAGTGTAGGGAGGGCACCATGGTGTTGTAGGATTGATGGGGGCCTCATGAACCAGAACCATCCACCCGTCCAGCCACCCACCCACCCAACCATCCACCACCCGTCCATCCATCCATCCATCCACACACCCATCTGCATACCCATCCACCCATCCATCCACCCATCCATCCATCCTGGCCTCCGCACAAAGCACTAAATGAATCTTTCTTTGCTCCAGGTCACAGGAACGAGGGAACAGAGAGTGACTCCCACACCTCGAGAAAGTACACTCCTGTCCCTGACTCCAGTCTCTACCCAAGGTCCCAATCACGCAGGACTGCATGGCCAGCTGTGCCACTGGCTGATCCAGAAGCACCGACGGGGACAAGGCAAAGCCACCTGGATGGGGGTGACACGATGGCAGGGCTTTGTTCCCTGGTCAGGGGGACAGGGAGGGCTAATGGCTGGGGCGCCTTGGGGACGTCCACGTGGACACGCGCATGGACAGCAGGACGCGCACACACACTTCACACGGTCACTGTCGCTGTCACACGCCCCTGCCCACCCTTGGGGCCTCTACCTGGCGCCCTCCGGGGCTCGGGCCCGGGCCAGGCGAGGTGGGGCCGGCGCCGTGGCCGTCGCGGATGCTCAGGTCATAGACGGCGCCGTCGAGCAGCACTGCGGGCCGGTAGAGGCGGGGGCCGTCCGTGGGCCGGTGTCGCTCGGGGTAGTCACCGAACAGGAACTGGCGGATGATGGCCGTCTTGCCCACTCCCGGAGCGCCCAGCACGGCCACCCGCAAGCTGCCCCCCATGGCCGGCCCGCGCGGGAAGCCTCATGGGCCGCCCTGCCCGGTGCGCCCGGCCCCGCGCGCTCCTCGTCGCCTCCCGCAAGCGCGGAGGACGGGGCGGTGGCGGGGGGTGGCGGGCGCGGTGGCGGCTCCGGCGGGCGCCGAGGCGGGGTGGCGGAGGTGGCGGGGTGGCGGGCGCGGTGGCGGGAGGTGGCGGAAGGTGGCGGGGTGGCGCGGTGGCGGGCGCGGTGGCGGCTCCGGCGGGCGCCGAGGCGGGGGGTGGCGGGGTGGCGCGGTGGCGGGCGCGGTGGCGGGAGGTGGCGGAAGGTGGCGGGGTGGCGCGGTGGCGGGAGGTGGCGGGAGGTGGCGGGGTGGCGGGCGCCGAGGCTCCGGCGGGCGCCGAGGCTCCGGGGAGAATCCGACCAGGCGCGGCCGGCAACGTGGGGCCCCGAGGTCCAAACGCAGCAGTGTCTCGGTCCCTCTGTCCTTCTGTCGCCCCGGCGCCCGGAGTCGCCGCTGGAGCGAGCGAGCGAGCGAGAGGAGAGCGAGCGAGCGACAGAGCGAGCAGGGCTCCGGAGGCGGCGATGAGGTAACCGCCCTACCCCCCTTCCTGGGCCTCCCCTCCCCCCACTCGGGACGCCCCTCCCCGAGGGGGTCGCAGGACGGTGACCCGAGGACAGGGACCCCGGGCAGAGGGGGCCTCATGGCCCTTAGAGTCCCGCGCTCCTGGTACCCTCTCCAAAATACAAGCCCCTTCCCGACCCACCCCCTCCAGACACCGCTGGCCCCAAGCGGGCTCCTGCCTGCCACTGTCCCTGGCTCTGGACACAGGTCGCCCCGGGTCCCGGCCGTGTGACCTTGGACAATGGCCGCACTGCGCTGTGTCTCTGTCCTCCATCCATCAAACGCAGGACCTACTCCTTTTCTAAGCAGCATCCTTGAACCTTCAGCTCCAACCTAGTAGGACAGGGAAAAGAGGGGAAACTGAGGCAGGAGACTGGAGCCTCCCAGGTGAGAAGCCTGCAGGTCCCTTCTGAGGCCCCGGCCACCCTCAGGGGTGCATGGCCATCCTGGAAGGGAAGTGGGGACCAGGAGGCACCTAAGCCAGAGGTGAATAAATACAGAAAGATGCAGAAAGTGGCTGACGTCACCTTGGGTCACTGCTGAGGCCATGTGTCCTGCAGGGGTCTGTGACTGGAGTGTCCGTCAAAGGGGTGCAACATCCAAACCACCCTCCCAGGTCTGCCCTTTCCCCGAGGGGCCCCCACTGGAAAGACTGGGTTTGCCCAGCCCCCATCCCCTACCCCTTCCCCCTACTATGGCGGGGGGCCGCTCACATTTCCACTCTCCCCAGGTATGGAACACCCAAATTCTGAAAGGCCCAGAATTTCTGCAGTGATCAAAGGTTTCATTAATTCATCCCCTCAACAAATCTTCCCCTCCCACCGCCCCCAAAAAAATGGTCCTAGAAGTCATCTGTGAGAGCACTGAGCATTCCTGGGGAAACTGAGGGAGCAGGGAGCAGGTGCCTCCAGAAAGAAGCAGGTGGTAGCAACTGGTGGACGTTTCTCAAACACTGAATGTGTCGTTTTCCCCAGACTGGACCAGGGGCCTGGGTATGCTTTCCTTCCTCTCCTGAGCCACTAGGAAGCTCGGAGGTCCCTTCTCCAGTGGTCTAGGTTTTGAGGTTAGCGAGTGGGGAGGCCTGGCTTCCTCTCTTTCCTGCCACAACGTTCACTTTCACCTTATTTTCCCCTCTTGCATTTTAAAGTGTTCAGGGTTGTGCGTTCTGTGAGCTGTTTCTCTCTCTTTGGGAAAGAAGCAGGCTGGAAATAATGTCAGCCCCCTTCTCTGTTAGCATGCAGCAGGTCCGGTGGCGGGGGGAGGGTTGGGACCAGCTCTGAATTCTCTGGAAAATGTCTTTGCTTTTTGTTTTGTTTTTTTCCTAACAGTGCCCTCTTCCCCTGAGCCTGACTTTCTGAAAAACCTGGTTCACCTGGGCCCAGGGGCCAGAGGGATATCAGGAGGGGTCAGCTGGAGCCCTTGGGGTGAGTTGGGCTGCGATGGGTGGGCAGCTCTGCAACTGGGGTTTCTCATTGCTCCTCTCTCCTCCCCTAAAGAAGGGCTGTGGGGCGCTACCTGCTGCACCAGCCCTATCCCCGTTCCCCAGGGCCTCCCGGCCCCATCCAGTGTTCAGGGACGACCCACCAAATTCACAGTAGCCAAGCCGGATGCTCCTGCCTGCTATGGCTTGTGAGGGAGACAGACATGCAGCCAGGTCCAGACAGATGGAGACAGAAGCCTGGCTGGGCTGGCTCAGGCCTGGGAGGTGGTGGGGCTGAGAGGGGCTGGGGACCGGGAGCTCAGCTGGACCCAGAGGGATCAGAGCCCAGACAGTGGAGTGTGCTGGGAGGCAGGTGACCTTGGGCAGGGGGACATCCAGCCCACCACTGACCTTTGCTCATGGCCTCTTCCCAGATGGCCTGGTTCTGGCCCTTTCCCTTCTGGGGTCAAACACCCAGACTGCATCAGGTCCCAGGAGGCCTTTCCCCAGGTTCTCGGGGTCAGCTGTCTGGCTCACGCTTCTGACTGTGAACTGTGGTCTGTGGTCTGTCCCACCATTAAATCATGGTTCCACACCACTTGTCCTGGTAGTCACTCACCTCCTTGGGCCCTGGAGGGTCCACTACTGCTCAGATGCCTGGAGCCACCCTGTCACTATTGTGACCCCATATAACGAGCCTGGTCAGCCTCCTGAGGACCAGCCCTGGTCTCACAGCTCTCAGGACACAAGAAGGCAGTACAGACCTCTGACGGGGGACCTTTTGGGTTTGAACCCTTCCTCCCAGGGGCGTCGGGAAACTCCCAGTTTCCGTCGCTCTACAGGGGATGATGGACCAGACTTCACAGAGGTGTTGTGGGATGCAGGAAGATGACACAATGAGAAAAACCAGACAGTCAAGTGAGGCTGGGGAGAAAAACTGGTACATACAGCTCCACTTCCACATGGTGAAGCATGCACGCGTCTTCTACCTGTCAGCTGAGAGGACCACAAAGTGACAAACCAGTAGGAACAAGCACATCTGGCCTTGGAGCTTGGTTTCTAAAACCATCTGAATGAGCTGGTGGCTCACGCCTGTAATCCCAGCTACTCAGGAGGCAGAGATCAGGATCACAGCTCGGGCAAATAGTTCTCAAGACCCTATCTCCAAAACATCCAACACAGAAAAGGGCTGGTGGAGTGGCTCAAGGTGTAGACCCTGAGTTTAAGTCCCAGTACCGCAAAATAAGTAAATAAAAAATAAAAAAGATACCAATTCTACATGACTGAATACAAACATTTGATGTGACCCAAACCAAAAAACCCATCAATTTATGTTTTATTTTTATTTTTTGGTGGAACTGCAGTTTGAACTCAAGCCTTTGCAGTCGCAAAGCAAGTGTTCTAGTGCTGGAACCACACATTTTGCTCTGGTTGTTTTGGAGATGGGGTCTCTCGAACTATTTACAGGGCCTGGCCTTGAACCTGGATCCTCCTGATCTCAGCCTCCCAAGTAGCTGGGACTACAGCCATGAGCCACTGGTGCCTTTTAACCCACAAACTAGTTGTAAGGTTCAGATGGTAAAGAGGGCTCCCTAAGTTATGAAAACATAAAAAGTACTTTTTGCAAAACACAGAACCCAGTGAATAGTGAAATGCCCTGGTACAAAACAGAATCCAGAAAAACACCCAAATATAGGTGAAAACTTAGTGCATGATAAAAATGGCTCCGGAGGTCTGTGGGGAGATGACTAATTCAAGAGATGGTAGAGGTGGCTGGGTACCATCAGGGGAAAGGGAAAGTGAGTCCTTACCTCATTCCCACACAGTCAGATGGAGCAGGAGGGCAAGGCTAACGCTGAGATCAGACAACTACCAGGAAGAAAAGAGCAAAACAAAATTACATAAAACCCACTGCAAAACAAGGCGGATGGCAGATCAGGAGGCCCAGAACCAATAACTCAAAAAACTCACGAAAAGAGGCTTATTTGACCTATTTATTTTTGGTGGGACTGGGATTTGAACTCAGGGCTTTGTGCTTGCAAAGCAGGCGCTCTGCCACCTGAGCCACGCCTGCAGTCCATTTTGCACTGGTTATATTGGAGATGGGGTCTCGAAAACTGTTTATCCGGCCTGGCCTCAAACCATGATTCTCCTGATCTGAGCCTCCCAAGTAGCTAGGATTACAGGCGTGAGCCACTGGCGCTTGGTAAGAGGCACATTTAAAGCCCAGGAAAAATGCCATTTCTCTCCTGTCTCAGTTGTCTGCACGGGCTCTAAAACAGGACTCTTGGCAGGACAGCTGCACTAGGAACACCTTGTGACAACTCTGCTTGTCGCTGGGGCTGGTTCAAGATGGCTCTTCCTTTGTTGAATGGAAAACCACACAACAGTCTGAAAAAGGCACAGGGCTCTCTCTGCAAAGTATCTTTTTATTATAATTATTATTTATTGTTTTCGGTACTGGGGCTTGAACTCAGGGCCTACACCTTGAGCCACTCCACCAGCTCTCGTGATGTTTTTTTTTTTTCCAGATAGGGTCTCGCAAACCATTTGCCCAGGGCTAACTTTGAACCTCGATCCTCCTGATCTCTACCTGCTGAGTAGCTGGGATTACAGGTGTGAGCCACAGTGTCCAGCTCCACCTTACCGTTTGTGTATAAGAAAAAAGCACTTGACACTGTTTGGACAGTCACAGTGGGGAGAGAAATGGGCACAAGGATTTTTATGTTTTTGGGAGTGGGGCTAAGAAGATACCAGGGTTTGAACTCAGGGCCTTGCTTCTGCTTTGCCCACTTAAACTACGCACCAAGCCTAAGGATTTTCACTGTTTTTGGCAGTGCTGGGGATTGAACTCAGGGCAAGCACGAGCTGTACCTCTAAGCCCTAGAACTATAATTTTTTTCTTCCCGCCCTCCATCTTTAGCTGTTTTGAGTCAGGATCTCACTATGGAGCCCAGGCTGGTCTCAAATTTGTGATCCTTCCTGCCCCAGACTCCTGAGTGCTGGGATTACAGGCCTGCAGTACCACATCTGACAAGAACCACAATTTAAAATGTAAACTTGATGTGAGCAGGGATGCCCTGGGGAGCACTGCGGGGACTCAAAGATGACTGAATGTCCGCCCAGCAGCAGGGACTGGCTCGTGGTGGCCTGTCCACCTGATGAACACAGAAGTGGGTCAGTTTGTACTGCCAGGGAAGGAAAAGAGCTCTGGAATTATGGTCCAGGTAAACACAGCAACATGCACTGGGGACATGGCTCAGTCATGAGCCACTGGGTAAGGCCAAGTTCAACCCACAGCAATTAAAAAAAAAAAAATCTAAGTAGCAGGCTGACAGTGCATGTGTTATAAATTTTTTTTGGTGGGACTGGGGTTTGAGTTCAGGGCTCCACACTTGCAAAGTAAGTGCACTACCCCTTGAGCCACTCCTCCAGTCCATTTTGCTCTGCTTATTTTGGAGCTGGGGGTCTCGAGAACTAGTTGCCTGGTCTGGCCTCAAACGGTGATCCTCCTGATCTCAGCCTCCCAAGTAGCTAGGATTACAGGCGTGAGCCACACGTGCATGGTGCTAGTCCCATCTTGCCATGTGTGCCTGGACAAGGGCAGAAGCAGGGTAAGGTCCTGTCCATAAGCACCTGAGGTGTGGGCAGACTGAATCAGGAGGGTGACCCAAGGTGTCTGGTGATGGTCCACACCCTCCATCCTGACAGGCCAGCCTACCTTGCCTGTCAGCTGTCCTTGGCCAGGTCATTTGTCTCGGGCCTCTGTTTGCCCACCATCCTCCAGGCAAGCAGCCATGCTACACTTCCACTCTCCCAGCCTGGGTGGAAGGTAGAACAGGAGGGCCCATGAGGCCCCCAGATGGAGGCTGCTGGCTAGGGGTGGTGGTAACCCCTGCAGCTGACAGGGAGTGCACTCAGGGCATCTGGGTTGGGGGAGGCTAGGGTGCACCCCCCTGCTTTTCCGGTTCCAGCAGCTGTGTATGCCTGGGACCTTTTGAGCCTAGACTGCCAGGTGAGGCTGGAAGTAGGGTTGTGCCATCAAGAGCCTCGGCTGGCTCTGGACTCTTATGCTTTGCAGGGCAACACTGCAACACCACAGCCAAGGTGGGGCAGTGGAGATGCCCAGCGAGACACAGGTGGGCATCGGTGGAGCAGCAGTGTCTGAGGTGGGCAGGGTGTGGGGCGGAACAGAGACAGAACAGGTGGCGCAGCTGGGCTGAAGGGGGCCAGGGGTCCCAGTGCCCATCCCTAAGAAACAGACTGTACCCTTCTTCCCCTACCAGCCCGGCCAGGAGGCAGCTCTGGGAAGCCAGGCCAGTGCCAGGGTCTTCTGTGGTGGCTGCCCCCCCGCCCACCTCCACCCCTGGCCTTAAGTCTTTCCTGCTGCTCCTGGAGCCTCTCAGAAGGCAAGAAGCTGGGAAAATCCCAAAGGGACAGTCAGTATCATCGTGACACAGCACATGTGTGGGATCAATGGCAGGAGAGGTGCCTTGGGGAGCCACAGCCAGGCACACAGCTCCAACCCAGAACCAGAGCCCAGAGAGCCTCAGGACCTGACCCAGTGGCCAGGGACACGACTGATACTGTCATTTTCATTCATTCTCTTCCTGAAGATAAAACTAAGCATACAATATATATTTTCTATGTGTATGTATTAGATATGGTTACTGCGGAGGTCAGACACCATCCCTGCCCCTCAGGGGCTGTCTCCATTCTCACCTTTGTGGAGGGAAAGAGGCATCAGTGATTGCCAAAAGCAGAATCTCTTTATTATCAAACAGCAGTGACAGAAGAACCTAACGTGCTGTCAGCCAGATGGGGCTGGGGAGGACAGTGGACACTAGACGCACACCTGTTGTCTCAGCCTCACCCCATCTCTGCTCCAAGAGCCCGGAACTCGCTGAGGGTACAGCAAGGAATGTATGGGTAGGCATGACCGTCCTCAGGAGGGGGTGGGAGCGGGAGCGGGAGCCAGGGCAGGCTCAGGGCTCCTGCCTGGCTGTGATCACCTGGCCCATCAGTATGGATGGTGGTGCAGGGCTCCTCCTGGTTCCGCTCTGCTCCTGCTACCACCTCCAGCCTGACAGCAGCTCTGCTACCCAGGGGCCCCCCACACACACCCAGAACAGGCTCGAGGTGGTGACAGGGCAGGAGGATGACGACTCTGGCCTGCTGTCCAGCTGCTGCTGCTGCTCTGGCTGTTGCCTTTGGTTCTCTCCTCACCTGACGCCACGTGTCAGCAGAGCAGCAATGGAGGAGGGGCCCCCCAGAGCATAGGGTGCACTAAGATTCCAGCTCAGGAGGGGGTATCCCTGCACTGAGAACCCCAGTGGACCCTGAGATCAGGATCAGGGACTGCCTGCTGGTCAGGAGCCAAAGCCAGCCCCTCCTGTGAGAAGGCGGCTCTGCCACCCCCAGGGACTCCTGGATGGGGCTGGCAGAGGCTGGAGCAGGTGCAGGAAGGGCTCAGTTCTTTAGGATGATCTCGTAGGCCTGGTACACATGCTGGGAAACCTCTGGCGCTCGGCACTTAAGGGACAGCTGTGGGAAAAGAGGGCAGGGAGCTCATCCCTGGCTCTGCAGGAAGTCAGGCGAGGGGAGGGAAAGAATGCGGGCACCGGATAGAAAGCGCGTGCAGGCACACGTGGCAAGGTGGCAGCTGCAGCTGGGGCAGATGTGAGGGAAAGCAGAGGGGGTGGCCATCACAGCCAGTCGGGTGGGTACCAAATATACTTGCAGCCCACACACCTGCTGTCAGCCCCACCACCAGAGTCCCGGTGGCAGGCAGCGTGACTCACAGGCCTGAGGCTGCCAGGAGTGCCTGGTCTCCACCCTGCTGTGTGTGGCCTCCCCAGATCCCCTGGAGGTTGGTCTGAGGTCCTCAGGGCCAAGCATGACAGGCAAACATTAGGGAGCAAAGGGCTGGGCTTGCTCCTGGGTGTCTTGCATAGGTTCCTGAGACTCTGCCTCAGTGCTGAGGTCTGAGCCCTGGGATTCAGGCAGGGGCAGAGAGGCCAGCCACCCGTTCTACTCAAAAGCACCAGTTCTGAGGGTGCAATTAGGAAGCAGGGAGTTCTGTGCACACTGCGTGTGGGAGTGGATGGAAAGCACCAGGGCATCAGCAGCCTGCATGCGCGCCTACTCAGCTTTGGGAGCAGCTAGGTGAAGCTAGGCCAAGAGACAGGCATGTGCAATATGGCTGGGTGGACAGAGGGAAGAGAAAGAGAAAAGCCATGTGCTAACCTCCAAGTCCTGCAGCACGGTGCACCAGCAGCAACCAAACAGGGAGACGGAAATTACCACCACCAAAGCCACCACTGCAGCCCCACCCACTAATGCCACAGCCACCAGTGGGGCCCAGGGAGGTGGTGTCCAAGGGCAACACCTGCCAGACTCAGGGTGCTGGTGTTCTCTGGGCCTGAGAACAGCACCACAGCCCCAGGAAGACCAGGCACCCCCAGCAGCTATCTCAACAGGTCTAACTCAAGTCCAGGAATCATGGATCTGACTCCAGGCTAGGTACTCAGGCGCCCACAAGGCAGCAGGGTCAGGGCCTGTGCCCAAGCAATGTCACTTTCCAGCTGGGAGAAACTTGCTGGGGTTGAGCTGGAAGTTTCTAGAAAGGTGCCACTCAGGGGCAAAACTGACTTTCATTCACACCAGGCTCAAAGGGGCGTTTAGCACAATGACCTCCATCAGAGTCACTGGCCAGCCTGGAGGAGCAGGAGGCAGGACAGTGTGGCAAGGTGCCAGGTGCGGGGGCACTCACCGTGAAGCTGGGGTTGCCTGGCTGGATCCGCAGCTCCGCCAGCACCCAGATGCTGTTGGTCAGTTTCAGGGACTGGTAGAGCATATCCTGGCCCTCCACGGTCCTCTTGGCGATGGTGAAGATGTTGCTGTTCTGCAGCTTGCTGCTCACGGCCTCTGCGGGTTAGACGGCCTGCAGTCAGCAGGGGCAGGGGCAGGGACATGCCAGGGCCAGCATGGATCATGGGACTGGGCATCCTCACCCGCACTGAGGGGGCAGTCTCTGATCTGGAACTGGGCTTCATTCTCATTGGGAATGTCTTTCCATGTGGCCAGGAACATCTGCCTGTCTGCAGGGTGAGGGGTGCGGATGAGTCACAGCCCCTCAGCAGGATGTGGCAGGAAACATCTTGTCTCCAGTGCCACCTGTAAACCGAGCACAGGCACAAGTACCGGCTCCTGCATGCCCCCCCCCCCGCCACCACTTCCCCGAGTGAACCCTCAGCCCGTTCTCCTCCCTTCCCACCCATCTGCCCTTCTCCTCCCCAGGCCCCACACAGCCAGCTCGGTGGGGGCCGCCTGCCTCACAGGGCTCTGTGGTAAGGGACGTGCTCTGCTCCACATATAACTCAGCCATCCCTGAAGCCTTCTTGGGGTTGTGGCCCTGGCACAAACATGAGCACTTGGCATGACCTGGTTCCTGTAGCCCGAGGGACAAGGTGAAGGACGAGCGGCAGAGCCCTCGGGACAGCTCCCGTGTGGCACTAGAGCTGGTGTCCATTGTCGGCAAGGCCACTGAGCTCATTCTTGGCAGAGGCTCTACCTGGCCTGGTTCCTGAGCTGCAGCCCCACGGCAAGACCCAGGGCCCCTTTAGGACTCACCCATCTTCCCATCCTCCACAAACAGGACATGCAGAGGGTACAAGGTACTGAAGTAGAAGACATCAATGTTGTTCTTCACAGCCACCTAAGCACGGGGACCCTGGTCAGTCTCTGAGGCCCAAGGAAAGGCATCCCCAAGCAGGATCTCTCATGTGACCTCTTCATCTCCTCTTGACTCAAGGGATTGGCCAGTGCCCACCCCAGGGCTGGGGACAGGACTACGCACCTGGAGGTTGTTCAGAGGCTCCATCTTCATGACTGAGCCCACTGTGTTAAGAGGCAGGGAGATCTCCACAGTCTGGTTGGGACTGAGTGGTGCGTGCACCTGGAGTGGGGCGGCGGGGGCCAGGCCAAAGCTGGGGAGAGAGAAGGCCCCCGCAGGAGTGGGTGCCAACATGGGACAGATAAGCTCCTTGAGCTCAGAGCCTCAGGCTGGCTTTGCCCAAGCTACCAACCACCCAACCCCTCATCCTCAATGACCGTGTGGACAGGAGGCAGCCTGTCTGCAGGCCAAAGCTGACCTCTGCCCCTGTCTCTGCTGGGCATCTTACACCAGAGGCCTGGACCATACTCTTCTTCTGACCTGAAAACTCACCATTCAGGTCTCTGCTGCTATGTCCTGCATCCCAGGTTTGACTGTCCCCAACCAAAAGTCAGAGTTCATTTGCCTGGATGAGAACTGCCTGGATCACATGATGGCCAAGGAGTCAGAAAAGCCCTGCTTCTTGGTAAAGGACCGAGCACATGGGCAATCTAGAAAGGTCCCCCTCGGTGGGACATCTCCAGCCACAGGCTCCTGGAAGGCTTCAGTCACAACGGTGTGCCCAAGCCAGCAACACCGATTTCTATCCTCACAAACACAGAAGGGTGCAGGTCATCCCATCTTCCAGATGCAGGTAAAGGACCGAGCACATGGGCAATCTAGAAGGGTCCCCCTCGGTGGGACATCTCCAGCCACAGGCTCCTGGAAGGCTTCAGTCACAACGGTGTGCCCAAGCCAGCAACACCGATTTCTATCCTCACAAACACAGAAGGGTGCAGGTCATCCCATCTTCCAGATGCAGACAGGGAGCTGAGCCTCTGAGAGGGACAGGCTTGTGCCCAGCCCCTAAAGGGTCTGATTCTCAGCAGAATCAGAACTCCAGATGCCTGACCCCAGCTGTGCTCTATCCACGAGGCCAATCAGACCCACCTGGGTGGTGTGGGGAGCCTTAGGCCTCCATGGTGGTTCTGCACTCTGGGCTTTCCTGGGAGCTCCACAACTGCCTGCTGTGTAACTCTGAGCAAGGCTCTTCTTGCCCTCTCTGAGCCTAGGTATCATTACTTATTAAAAAGGGGAGGACTGGAGGTATGGCTCAAGCAGTAGAGAACCTGCTTTGCTTTAAGTGAGGCCCTGAGTTCAACCCTAATCCCACCAAAAAAAATAAGAAAAAAGAGGGAATGGCACCAACCTTACTGGGCTGTCAGGTGGCTCCACTCAGACAACACTAGGGACCACCTCTAATGATCTGTAGAGCATCTGTGGCCTTTTGGGCCCTCTGGAGGAAAGGGCAGACCTGCCCCAACCTCCCTGAGGGTCTCCCCAGGGAAGCAGCCCCTTCAGTCAACTTCTTAGAGGCTCAGTTTGCTCATCAGGAGAGCCGCTCAGGAAGAGGAATCATCAAGAGGGGCTGCTTTGGTTCCTGGAGAGCCCTGGCCTCGAGGGCCAACGGCCGAGCTTCCTCTGGACACAGTGTGGGGACTTTGGGGGCGAGGAGCCTGGAGCAGCCTCCACTTATTCCAGAGGCCCTATCTTTTGCTGTCTGGGGAAAGCTGGTAGGCAGCTCCCCTATACAGGAGTGACTCAGGCACTGGAGAGGGGGCTTGAGCTCCTGTCACGGTGGGTTGGCCCCCTTCTAAAGATGTCACAAAAATCAGAGCAGGTGCCCTCTCCACTGCCTGAGGCTGTGGAGTCCACATAAAGAGGTCACTTGCAAGAACACTGCAGTGATGAGTTCTGCACTTCTCTAGGAAAGAGGGCCCAGGTCCAACAGTCCTCAGCCTCCTGCAGGCCCAGTGTGTGCTCTCAACAGCTGACCCTGGAACTCACCTGTTGCGGTTGAACTGGATGGCAAAGTCTGTCATGGCCTGCAGGGCTTTGTTGGTCAGCTGCAGGTCCATGGAGATGGAGCCCACCTGGCGGGTAAAGGTTCCCGAGATCTCCAGCCCCTTGGCCTTCATGGCTGGGAGCCAGACCTGCAGGCAAGACAGTGAAAGGGAGCTGGGGCTGGCGTGCGTCTCTTCCCACCCTAAACTCAGCAGTCCACATGAGGTTCTTTTCTCCTAAAGAAACCCTCCAGGTACATCTTAGTGAGAGGAAGGCCCCTCAGCCCACCACCCTGGTGTGGCTGCACACAGCATAGGACGTGGAGCTCTCAGGGCTGCTCCAAGACTTCAGAGGTCACAAAAGGTGACACTGAGTGAGGAAGCAGGGCTGAAGAAGGTGACCAGACGTGTGAGCCCTGCCAGCTCCTGATAAGCCAAGGACAGAGCTGAGTGTTCAACGCCACTCTGGCCCCTGGCCAGAGCATGAGGCCTCCATGCTGTCACAGCCTGTCCTCCCTCGCAGGAGGCACTCTGTTCTTTCATTGTAGAAACTGGTGTAATCAAGGGCAGTATCTAAGAGGACCTCCCATCTCAGCAGCTTGCCTGCCCTTGTAAACAGTCTCAGTCTAAGAGCTGCCTACTCTGGGGAGCCTGCATCAGGCTCTTCCACCATAGCTGCACCCAGTGACATCACGTCAGATAAACATGAGCTGGGCGCCGGTGGCTCAGGCCTGCAACCCTAGCTAATCAGGAGGAAGAGATGAGGATCGCGGTTTAAAGGCAGCCCAAGCACGAGACTGTATCTTGAAAAAACCCTTCACAAGAAAGGGCTGGCACAGTGGCTCAGACGGTAGAGCTTGCCTAGCAAGCATGAGGCCCCGAGTTCAAACCTTCAAACCTTACTGCCACACAGAAACAAAAAAAGGTTTATGTGTTCCTCTCCCTATTTCCAGGGAGCTCTTGGAGGGAAGGGCTCTGCTTTTCTGTCTACATCCTTGGCTCAAGGCGTGGAACCCATGTGCAAAAGAAGGGTGTGCTGGTATCTCCCTGTGGACGTGCAAATCACCTGAGGCCCCTCAGGCACTTGACATCAAAAGGGTCTTGTCCCACCCAACTGCCTCCACAGTGCCCCAGTGTCCACCCTCCCAATCTGCAGTCACAGAGCCCCAATTCCTGTCAATGCCACCTCCCACATCTGCCCCAGCACCCCCATGTCTCCTCCTCCACAGGAACTGCCACTAGACTTCTCAGGTAGGAAAGCTCCATCCAGGTGGCTGCACTGTTTCTTCTTCCCCCTTTGCATATCAGCCAGAGTTATCTTGTAAAATGTAAATGTGATCACGGCCCCTGGGATACCCTTTCTCCTCCTTGTAATGGAGTCCACTGCCTGGGGCAGCTCCAGGCTCTGCTTGCCTCTGCTCCCCTAACTCACCCGCATTGTCCCTCTGTTGGCAAGCCCCTCCCCACCTCTTCTCACTTGGCTGACCCTGGGCACTTGTCTTCTGGACAGAAACCACCACTGAGTTCTGAGCTGTGACGGTAAGCATCAGGCGCTGTGAGCGCTGAGTCATGGCATAACAAGCAGGTCTCCTGTCTACTCCCCCTGAACCGTGCCATCCAGCCTCCTCCTGTTCCTACAGAACTGGCCCTTGGTCACTCATGCCCTGGCACTGCTCCCTGAGGTGGGACCTCATTGCTCTTGGTCACTGTTGGCTCAAGGATTGTACCCTAACAGAATGGATCCCCACTATTGACCAGCAGAACCTGTAACTGTCAGCAGTTGACCCACATTCTGGAAGAACTTCAAATTCATGTACACAGGGATCCCCATCCCCCTTGACCATGACCAAGGCATCTGGGGAATGCACTAGGAACAAACTATTTCAGCAGTCACAGCTCACTTGGAGCCTGCCACTGCTTTTGAAGGGAGAGTGTGCACACAAGCCTTTGTGGCTAAGGTAGCACAAGACTCCTACTCCAGGCAGCTTGCCCTGATACTCCCAGCTTAGCAGCCCTCTCACCTCTCTTCCCAGTACTCCCTGCTGACCAGGAATACTCATCGGCCCTTCAGTAGGCCTGGCTTGTGGCTGAAATTCCTGACAGCTCTGGCGTGGACCAGCACCCAATGGCTACAGGAGTCTGTGGGTCTTCTGTCACTCCATTCTGCCATGTGCCTGTGACACTGGACTTTTAACAGGAATGATATGACCTTTTGCCTTGGTGTAGACAATGTGTGCAGTGATTAGTCAATACCCAATGTTTTCTGATCCTGATGACTGTGACAAATAGCAACATTAAGGAGGTACACGAGGAGGTCCTCACTTTCAACCAGTGACGTAGAAGCGGCAGCAGAGGCTCTGGTGTCACTGCCCTGCGTTGAGTTCCAGCTATGTGACTGCAGCAACAGCACGCAGATTTCTCAACTACGAGCGGGAGTGACAGCAACATAAGAATGAGGAGGCCCTGTGGGCTGGTGCTGTGGAAAGGGCTGTGTACCTGGCGCCAAGCCGGCTGCTGCCAGGCCAGAGCTGCTGTTGTGGGGCTGCAGGGGTGGTTCAAGTGGTAAAGTGCCTGCCTAGCAAGCGCAAGGCCTGAGTTCAACCTCCAGTACACCACCCCACCAACAAAATTAAGAAACTAAAACACAGAGCACCTCCTGGGGTCCAGGCCTGCATGGGGCCCTGCCTAAGGCTCTGACCACTCCCTCTGCAGGTGTAGTGAGCAGGAAAGGGCATGTGCCACTCCCGGCTCCCATCACAACAGAGCTCCCTGTGCTCCTGAAGCCACTTGTGTTCTGCTGTGGGGAGGGAAACTCCAAAGAGAGGGGGCTCTGGCAAACATGATTTCTGACCCGAGTGTCATGAGGGAATTGGGCCAGATGTGTCCCTTTGGAGCCTCATCACGATGACATGGCCCACACTGTGCTTCTTAGTCCCAGGCCCACACATGCTCAACCCCCCTCAGCTCTCCTTACTCAGCCTCGCCTGTGTCCCCATCATAGCGCCTCCTGTTGCCCCCCCAGCTCCTACCTATCCTGCCATTCCCACCTCCCAGGGAGCTCTCACACACAGGCTCCGCCTGTCTGCAACCCACGCTGCTCTGTCTAGGCTGCCAGCAGCGCCATCCCTCCCTGGCAGTCTCCTCCAGGTTCCGGGCTGCTCCACCCCTTCTCTGCAGCCAGTGCCATCCCCCATTAGTGTTGCAAAGCAGATCAGCTTAGAACCTTCCACAGCTCCTGTTGTGCCTAGATCAAGAGCAAAGGCTTGGCCTGGCCATGCTGACCTTGCTGGCTTCCTTACTCACTGATCTTCAGTCTAGCCCGTCTCAGGGGTGGGGCTGCCTCAGGAGTAGAAGTTCCCAGGACTGTAATTAAAGGGAGGCCTGTTCTTTGCCTCGTTCAGAACTTTATGGGATTCAGTCACCACTTCAGAAACTGACAGCACCGCCAGCCACACCACTCATGGTACCCAAGCTAACACTACCTGTAGCTGTCACAGGCATGGTGTCTTCTGGGGCAGGTGGGCAGGAGTGCCCATATTTACAATATTGAAATATATACTTCTAGTTGCTTCTTTTGGTCTCCTTCATGCAGTGATAGCATGTGATTATTTTTAATTATTTTACTGGTTGTACAGTCCACCAGATAAACTGATTGTCCAGTCCTCCAGTTCCCTTTACGGAAAGGAAGAGGGACCATAAAATGTCCCTGGACTGAGGTGGAAGATCTGATGGCACTGAGAACCGGAGCCCTAAAAAGGCTGGGCCTCGCTCCCCTCCGGGCCTACTCCCCAGGCTGCAGTGCTAAGTTGTCCTGCAGGCTGAGCTCAGCAAGTCTCCTCTGGGAAGCCTTCCCCAGCCCCCAGTCTGCCTCTGCTCCTCTTCCTCCGCTCCTCTTCCTCCACTCCCATGGCCCAGCTTCTCTCATCAGTGCTGACCTAAGCTGATTCCCTGAGTGCACACTGAGGCAGCCACACCAGGCTCTATGACTATCTCTGCTCCTGCCGTGAGAGAAGGAGAGGCACTTACTGCTTTGGGGGCCACATAGGAACCTGACAGGGTGCCTACACCACTGGTCAGGTCAAAGAGGTCACTAAGGCCACTGCTGATGGGTGCGCCTAGTCTGGCTGGTACTGCTGCTGCTGGGGGTGCGCCAAAGTTGTTGTCCCCAATCTGGAAAGGAAGGGGAAAGGTTAGAGGCAGGAATCAGAAGATCAGGGGCCCAGAAGGAATGGAGCCATCTGACTCTTTAGGAAACAGTAGGGGTGGGGCAGGACAGTCCTCACATCCACTCTAAGTTGTAGACACAAGAGAGAGTGAGGTGGGTGGAGAAGTGAGACTGAGCTGTCCTGAGCCTATGAGCCTAGCAGCTCAGGGAGAGGCCCCTAGGAAAGAACTCAGCCAATGGCTGAAAGGGGAACCCGAAACACATTGCTGGGCAGACAGTGCTAAGCAGACAGAAGCTCTCCTCCAGGACAAGGGCTTTGGGGATGAGGGCTAGTGATCCTTGGGATGACAATGCAATCTGTCACGGGGTGGAGAGGACACAGTGAGGAATTTGTGGTATGGGGCCAGTGGCAACTGGATATCAGGAGATCAAAGCAGAGGCTGCCACAAGACTGGACCACAGCAGGCCATGGCCAGCAGAGAGGGACTGCTATGACATCACCCACCCCTTGGGAAGCTGGGCTGGCACTCCTAAGAGGAGCAGGGACCAGAGCTTGGTGACACAGGGTTGAACCGTACCCCTTCAGGCTCATCCCCCATCTCCAAGCAGAAGCAGGCAGGGTGAAGAGAACAGGCAGCGACATGCAGAGAGAAAAGCCAGGAAAGACAACAGAGACAAGAGAAAAAGAAAGAGGGAGATTAGTCAACTGGGCCCCAGTGAGATGAGTTTGGCCTGAGGCCCCAAGCCCTGTTCCTCTGACAGGCACTACCCCATGGTTTCAGCCACCACCCTCATGTCCTGTGCTACAGCCCTTCCTACCTCTGCCCTAGCTATACTGATAGCCAAACTCCTGCCCAGGGCTACAGCCTGGGCTCCTGAGCAGAGCAGGAAGGGCCCAGCTTCCCTCTACCTGATTGAAGATGCCTGGGGAGACCTGAGCCAGGTCCACTGCTCCCCTCTCTATAGGCAGAGGGAGTTCTGTCCCTGGCCTCTTGGAGGTATGGCTGGGTGAGTGCACACGGGTCTGATTCAGCAACATCCCAGTAGGAAAAAGGCGATTGTGGAGCCAAGACCAAAGGAAGGGCTAGGATTAGCCCTGAGGAGGCCAACAAGAAGGCTGGCTCTTGTTTCTGGTACTAGGGAACCATGCTGTCTCGGAGGAAAGATGGCCTGGTCTCTCAAATCTGTTTTTCTCATCTGTGAGTAGGGAGCTACAAGTACAGCAGATAAGATCTTGCTGTAACGGACCCAAGGCCCTTGGCTGGTATCTGGCATGGAAGGGCTTTCAATGACTGCTCCTCTGAAGAGCATACCAACATCACCTGGGGACCCAGGACATACCAGGCTATCAAGGCCACCGCCAAGAAGGTCCACAGCTCCCATTTGCACTGAGGAGGTGGCCAGGGGTGGGCCGCTCACTGGGGGGCCGAGGTCCAGGTTGAGGAGGTCCCCCAGAAGGTCACCCTGAGCAGGAATGACATCTGGCTGCTCACCAGGTGGGGCTCCGGCAGGGGCTGTCTCAGGGCTCTCTGTGCTCTCACTCCTGCCAAACATAGGTGGATGGGACAGGGTCAGCCAGTGAGGATATTGGGCTGTCCTAGAGAGGTCGAAAAGACCCTAGTCCCCAAGGTCTTCCCCAGGACACTGGGTCTCCTCACTGTCCACATGACTAGTGCATCTTTCAGGCTGTCCTCGGGGTAAGAGAGGGGAGATGCTAGCGGTGTACTTTGTGTCTCATGGTGTTCCCAAGGACTGTCATCAGGTCAAAACAGCCAGTAAAGAACCACAGAGTTGGTGCAGACAACAGGGCTCTGTGACTGGACAGAGTGGGCCTGATTCTCAGGTCTGCTGGCTGGGGTGGGGTGGAGGGGCAGGGAGGGGACAGGGGTGTGGTCCTGGCCTGATCACTCAGACTCTCCTCATGTATTGCCAAGCAGTGGCTAAAAGGTCTACAAATGCAGTTTGCCTCAGACTCGGGCCTTTCCTGGGGACCTTGCGTTGGGCCTGAGCACCAGTGCCACTCAACTGAGGGAGCACATTGGAGGTGCAGATCCAGGACCACTGCACTCACGAGGCAGTGCGGGGCGGCAGGCTCTTGTGCACTGCTCCTCGGCCACCCTCCACGAAGGCACTGGGTGGCTTGTGGTAGACAGAGGCCAGTGTGCCAATGTGGCAGATGAGCTCATCCAGCAGCGTGGGCTCAATGAGGTCTGTCTCTTCAGAGATGAGAGGCTTCTCGGCCAGCACCACCTCCTTGGCAGCTACCGGGTCCGTGGAGAGTAGACGCCAGTAGATGTAGCCGCGGTCCCGCAGGTCGGGGTTGTCTGAGTCCTTGAGGGGGGTTTGGAGAAGCCCGTGAAAGTCCTCCCAGGTGAGGGGAGAAAACTCTCCCACAGCCTAATCGTCCAGGTGTGGTCATAGGGCTAGCAGATGACAGCAATCCTGAGCATGGAAGTCTGTCCTTAAAACACTGAACCAGACATGTCCCAGCCCTAGCTCGCTGTTTTTTATCCTAGACAGGCCTCATTCCCAGATGCCTCTGCATCTGCCCTCCCACAACCTTTCTAGTATCCTTACCCCTTCCCATTTACAGTCAGTCTCAACCTCACCCACACACCCATACTGATTTGGCTGTGACTGGCACCTGAAAGTAGGAGTCTCAGGCGATTCTGGGGCTAGACCCCACGGATGCTGCTCTCCAAGATGAGACTGGCCCTTGGGCTCAAAGCTCTACCCGCTGCAGCAGGGTGGGTGCAGCAGTGAGGCTGCACACCTACCTGAGTGGCCAAACTGAGGACCTGCTGCACCAGCTCCTGGGTCTCTGTGGGCTTCTTCAGGAAAAGCTTCACGATAGCTGTAAGCAGCTGCAGCTGGACCTGCAAGGAGACAGAAGGCAAGATGGGTGGGCTGCACTGGCAGTGGGAAAGTCCCTAGAAGCCAGGAAAAGCTCCTCAGGATTGAGGCTGGCCACAGAGCTCAGGTGAAGGTGAAGACCTAGGGGACTGGCCCACAGAGCTGGCCTGTCATGGAGATGTTGCACTCCTACCAGGGGATGGGAGTATTCTTGCCCAGTCCTCCTTCAGCCCTGCCTTTCACCTGGAACCCTCAGCCTGGCCAGCACCTCCCCACTTAGATCTGCCAACCCCAACCCAGCCTCCACACTTCTACAGTCTCCACTCCCTCCTCAGCATCACTGTCCACCTGCCAGGCTGTCCTATAACCATTAGCTTCCTATGGGCAGGGACAGTGGCCATCTTGCTCACTGTTGGGTCCCTAATTACTGCTTAAGCTAGTGCCTGGTGCTCTGTAGGCACTTAAGAAATTCTTAGCCAGGCAGAGTGGCTTACGCCTGTCATATCAGGGGGATCTTGGCTCGAAGCCACCTTGGGCAAACAGTTCATGAGACCCTATCTCGAGTAGACCCAACTCAAAATAGGGTTGGCAGAGTGGCTCAAGTGGTAGAGCGCCTGCATAGCAAGCATGAGGTCCTGAGTTCAAGCTATAGTATTGCCAAAAAAAAAAGAAAAGAAATTCTTGGTCAGGCCTGGTGGCACACACCTATAATCCCAGCTACTGGGAGGCAAAGGCAGGATGGTGGTCCCAGCTTAGTACAAGAAAAGTTGGAGAGACCCTATCTCAAACACAGAAATAAAACAAAAGAGCTGAGGGCACAGGTCAAGTGGTAGAGCATCTGAGGCCCTGGGTTCAATCCCCAGTACCGAAAAAAAACTCTTGTTGGCTGAAGACATGTAAACAAGAACAACTCACTGCACATGGCACATGTTTAGCCCCAATCTCATTTCCTGCCAGTCCTGGGACACCAGAGCAACCTGAGACTCCAGAACCAGGGCAACACCAGGGACATACACAAGCAAATGGCTTCATCATGCAGGACAGCCTGACAGTGGAGGCAGGATGGAGGGGATGGGACTAAGCCATTCAGAGTCCTTGCCATCTGGTTACACAAGGGCCAGTGGCAGAGTCCAGGGCGCTGGCTGTTTGCAAAGCAGGAGGCAGTCCTCCACGAGGGTCTGGCTTCCACACCTGGCTCAGCCCTTGGTTGGGTGGCCTGTAAGAAACCATTCACCCTCAGTCTGTGAAGAAAATGTATGGCCTGCTTCAGGGGGTTCTTGTGGCAGCTAGCTTGGAGCTAGAGTGTCATTTAACTTCTCTGTATCAGTCTCCTCGTCTATACAATGGGTGCTACACCTCACAGAACTAACGGGAACAGTCAATGAAACCGACGCATTGTGCAGTCGGCTCAGCACACAATACCACCACCACTACCACACAGGGACTTTGTACAAGTCCTCCCCAACTCAGTCAGCTGGCTGCCTGGAACCATTCATCACTGTCAGGGCGGCTATTTCCAGCTCAGGTCTGCCTCAGTCTTTGCTGTTAGAGGTGCTCTGACTACCAACCCAAGGCCCAGCTCAGCTCCCAGTCCAGCTCCCCAGATACACCATTGCTCCATGAGCCTGTATATTGAGGCTGGCTTTCCTGCTATGGTGCCATGACCCTGCCATCCAGGCAGGATGGGATAGCAGGTCAGAGGCAAGATGTGGGCAGGGCTGATGTATCAGCATAGCCAAGACTTTGTGGGCTCCCTGTCTATGCATGGCTAAAGAGGCCTAGGAGCAAAGATGAGGAGGCCGAAAGAGAAAGGGACAGTCTAAACAGAGTTTCAAAACAGTAAAGCATTTTTTTTTTTTTTGGTGGCACTGGGGTTTGAACTCAGGGCCTCATGCTATCGAGGCAGGTGCTCTACCACTTGAGTCACTCCTCCAGTTCAGTAACGCATTCTTAAAAGAGCTTTGAACTGTCTTGTGACCCCAGGATGCAAAAGGACTAGGCGACTTAATTAAACACTTCCCTCAACTGTCACACACTGAGCACTGGACAGGGCACTGGACGCGCAGATCCAGGAATCTGGAAGAACTCTGTGCTAGCACTGACAAGGATGACAAGGATGAGCTTGGGGAGTTTAGGAATGTGCCCTAGGGCCACGCAGGGGAGGAGCCCAGGCTCAGAACTTCTGAGCCTTCTTCATTTGCACTATACAGTCCTGGCTCAATGTTTACTTGTCTCTCTTCACCAACACTGGCTCTTGGGTTGGTGGAGAGGCTCAAGTGGTAGAGCGCCTGCCAGCAAGCACGAGGCCCGCAGTTCAAACCCCAGTATTGCCAAAAATAAAAAAGAAACTCTAATTCTGGCTCTTCAGCAGGCTTAGCTGAGGAGGAAGAGATTGCACAAGATTTACTCAAATACGTAGGCAGAGTCACACCCCTCCAGGCCATCCTCTGCAGTAGCCCCAGGCAGCACTTGGTTGCAGGGGCAGGCCAGGCTTTGCTTTTCAGAGACAGGTTTTGCTTTTCAGAGACAGTGGCCAGGGGCTGGTGTTGAAAGTGAAACAGCCTGGAGGCAGATGCCATGGGCAGGGTGCTACAATTCTACGATGGACATCTGCTGGTTTTGCTCAGCCAGCAGCATCTACTGTCTTCTGGTGACAGAAGTGCTGCCTTTCTTTTAGAGGTCCAGCCTTCTCTCTGTCCCTTTCAATTCACTGGGATGGGTGCCGCCAGGAGCTGGCTGATCACAGTCCCAGTGACAATGCAAACAGGCCTTGTTTGACTGCTGGACTGCTGAAGGAAAGTTCTCTTTAAGCTCTCAGTCAGAACCTACAAGTGATGGCCCTTCAATCCTTGGCTCATGGGAGCCAAGGAACAAGCTAGCCCAGGGTTGCAATGCCACCAACTGAGCCCTGGCATCCAGGAGCGCAGGAAGGGAGCATGCTCCATGGACAAGTCAGCTACAGTAACCAGCAGCTCACGTCTGTGATCCTAGTTACTCGGGAGGCAGAGATCAGGAGGATCGTGGTTTTTGAAGCCAGCCCTGGGCAAACAGTTCATGAGACCCTATCTCAAAAAATACCCAACCAAAAAGGAGCTGGCAGAGTGGCTCAAGTGGTAGAGCTCCTTCCTAGAAAGCACAAGGCCCTGAGTTCAAACCCTAGTACCATTAAAAAAAAAAAAAAAAAGATGAAACCAAAGCTGAGAGAGGAAAAGGGATAAGTATAGAGTCATGGACCTGGACCGGGGAGAGCGGAAGAGGGGTGTGTGGACTCAGATCGCGGTTCACACTGCCCCCTTCAGGTGGACTATTTGAAGGCTCATGTGCATGGAGAGACAGTCCCCAATCCACAGGGAAAGAATACAGACAAGGCGTGCAGCCTCATTCGTAACAGACATGCAAACAGAGCTGTACCGAGTAACCCTGTTGTCTGCCAGCCTGGTGGAAACCACGTGTGAGAGTGCACTAGCTGGTGAGGAAGTAAGGTACCATCCGAGAGAGGAAGGAAAACCAGAACCACTCTGCACCAACAGAAACCAGGCAAGAGCTATCGATCTGAAGTAGATGCACCCTCCTCTCTGAGCTTTCTGCTCAAAGACTGATTGGCCTTCCAGATATGCACAGCTGTGCATTTTACTGCCTGGTCACAGCAGTGCTGCTTAAAACAGGAAGACTGAACACCTAAGTGTCCACTGGGGTTAAATAAAGCAGAGAATAATAATGGCACAGCCCTTAAAGGGAAAAGGCAAGGTCTGAACAATTCCAGTTGCAGAGTATACTACCAGTATTTACAATGTAAAGATAAATGAAAAATATGTATCTAGTCAATCCTCATAATTCACTGTGCATTTATGTGAATCTGCCCACTTGCTAAAATCTACTTGCAGCCCTGGACTCAATACTCACGGTGCTTTTGCGGTCACTGACAGATGGGGGCAGAGCACTGGGAAGCGTTCCAAGCTGAGGTGAGATAAGCTGGTGCCTCACCTCCTTGTCTCAGCTCTCAGACTAAAAAGACATCCTTTCCATGGACTACTTGATGCCCTATGTTTCGTATTTTTGAGGTTTTGATGGTAACCTCCTTATTTAAAATGGTCCCCAAGTGTAGTCCTCACCTAGTATTCCTAACCACAAGAAGACTGTGCTGTTGTGCTGTATGGACAAAATATGTGATGAGTTCAATGTTAATGAATCAGGGCTGGAGGTGTGGCTCAAGTGGTAAAGCACCTGCCTCGTAAGCATGCAGCCCTGAGTTCAAATCCCAGTACTGCCAAAGAAAAAAAGCCCAAGAAAAAACAAGAGTAATGATGATGAATTAACAATATATATCGAATAAGCTGTCTTTAAACAGAAACACATGTAAAACAAGGTTATGTACTGACCAGTTGATAAAAACACTGTGTCCAGCAAGTTGCAAGAACCTAACTTTATTTTTTTGGTGGGACTGGGATTTGAACTCAGGACTTCACACTTGCAAAGCAGGCGCTCTACCTTTTGAGCCACACCTCCAGACCATTTTGCTCTGATTATCTTGGAGATTCGGTCTTTTTTTTTTTTCTTTTATTATTCATATGTGCATACAAGGCTTGGGTCATTTCTCCCCCCAGACCCCACCCCCTCCTGGAGATTCGGTCTTGCAAACTACTTGCTCAGGCTGGCCTCGAACCACAATCCTCCCCATCGCAGGCTCCCAAGCAGCTGATATTACACATGTGAGCTACGAGGACCCAGCAAGAACCTAATTTTGCATTTCTCCTGAAAGCAGTTTAGTATTCAAGTGCCATAAATAATAAGAATCAACTTCATGTGAACACGCACGTGTGCATGCACGTACATAGGCAGTGTGTGTATCTGCTGGTGTATTCCTAAACAGTCACTGTGAGTGTCCCCAAGAAACCTAGAACATCAGTGACTGGGAAGAGTGGCAGGAAGGAGATTTTTCACTATGTGTCCTGAAACTTTTCAACTGTGAATCAAGCTAATGTATTGCCTATTCACAGATGAGATTAGGACAAAACCTGAAACTTTTGCCTACCTTCCACAAACACTACCAGACTGTGTCCACGCACTGAGGCAGTGCCATGGGGGAGGAAAAGGGGCCATACCAGCTCCATACATCACTGTCCATCAGCAATGGCAATGTGGTATGGGGGGAAGAGTTCAGGACAGGACACACTTCCGGGCTGACAGTCACAACTCACACTCTGGCCTGAATCCGCCTGGGGACTCACCTGGGTGCTCTCATCATGGAAGCCCTCAAGGAAGCTCTCCAGCAGCTCGTCGGCATTGTCAATTCGCTCTGCATACTCCCCAACAATCCAAATCATGGCAGCCCGGGCCTCAGGCTCATCCAGGGAGTCCAGGTTCTCACAAAGCGTGGCGATCACGCTCTCGTACCTGGGAGAGTGGGCACAGCCAACAGTAGGCACCGAGGTAACCAGGGAGGTCTGCAGCTGCCCAGCAAGCCCCCGAGAAATGGGGAGGACAGGGGGTGTGTTTGCTTGTTTGTTTTTTGTTTGTCTGAGGCAGGGCTTCACTGTTCAGTCCCAGGAGGCTGGCCTCAAGCTCTGAGATCCTCCTGCCTCAGCTGCACGAGTGCTGGCATTACCAGCGTGTCCACAATCCCCAGCTCATGTTAGCTCTTATTTTGGCCCAGGGAGCAGTGGAGGGCCAGTTCAGGGAAAGAAGAAAAATGGAGGGTTTCTTCTGAGAATGCTTCCAGTGGCAGGGAGAGAAGAAAGGAGGAGAAAGGCCCTTCCTTCTTTCTCTTCCCCACCATGCCGTCCCCAAGCATAGCCAGGCACCCTCTCACCAGGAAAGCTGGGCACTGACTTGTTGGGGTACTTGCGGAAGATATCCTTAATGACGACAATGGCTTCCTGGACCACGTAGTTGACCTTGGTCTGGATGAGATCGAGTAGCGTGCTTACACAGCGCTCTGCAGATTGCTGTGTGGGAAGAGGAAGGTGTAGGCAAGGCCCCTGTACTCACTGCCAACAGAGCTGCTAATAAACACACCTAGGCCAAGCAGCCTATGCCACTCCTCATCTACCTTTCTCATCACAGCATGCAAACAGAACACTCCCGATAATGGGAAGACAGGGACCAAGTGACACATGATAGCCCTGGCTGGCAGGGACAATCCAAAGGAACGAGACTGCAGATGAGCAAGAGGCAGCACTCCTGAGGGTGGGGAGGGCTTGAAGCTCCTCCAGACCTGGCCCTGAGGGTGGAGTGACTCCACTTCAGCCTGACCCGACCTCTCTCGCTTGTTCATAAAACCGGTTCCTATAATCAAAATCACTCTAAGTCTCTGCTTGGGCCCACTCTCTGCCTTAGTTCGCATACAATGTGCTAATGGCCCAGTGCGGAAAAGTTCTTAGGGTGGACATCACAAGCACCAAGGGGAAAATGCCTCAAAAAGGGTCTAGGCTGGGAGTCACAGGGGTGACTAGTTGTCCCAGAGCCCCCATTTAAGGACAATCCAGGTCAGTGGTCAAGGAACCTCTCCTAGGCAGAGAGAATGGGAGGGGATGAAATGCCAGGTCTGGGGAGATTTCAGAAAGAGGCCCAGGGGCAGCTGAATCAGGGCATTTGCTAAAGTATCCAACAGGCAGAGCCCCGGCCCCAGAACAGAGCTCTATGAAGTTGAAGTAAAGTCTCCCAAGAGCCCACCAGCTGGTGGCTGCCTCATCATCCTAGCTAATGCTATAGGAGACCAAGACTGTGATGGGTTAATTTCACCTGTAAAGGCTTCAGAGCCAGAAGGAACCCCCATCCCCACCCCCACCCCAGACCTGCACAGTGGGTATCTGGAGGGGCTGTGGTGGTGACTCTGGGTGTTCCCGGACCACAATCAGCTGATGGATTCTGCTAGGATCACACTAGTTTCCTGGCTTCAGTTCCCTCCCCTGCCCCTCCTCGGACTGAGCACAGAGTCCCAAAACTTCCTCACCTCCACCTTGATGGCACAGCGACCGATGGCGCGCACAGCTTTCCGTACAAAGTCTACATCCACTTCCGTCGCATATTCCTTGAGCTCTGCCAATACCTGTGGCCCAGACAGAGAACAGGGTGGAGAACGTGATGGAGAAACCTACTGGAACACTTCTGGGCAGGGGGAATGCAAAACCCTCAGAAGGATGGGATTCTGCCTCCTGGTCAAGGTAGAAGGTCCAGAGCAGGGAGAGAGCTGTCAGATGCCTCAACAGGGCAGTACCCCAAAGAAAGGCAGGTAAAACCAGCGGCAGGGTTGGCAAGCCTTGTTTTACATTACCCTAGCTAACACATCGAGTCACCTGTTCTGTGTACCCGAGGCTGGGATTGAACCCAGGGCCTCAAACACTCAACAGATGTTCCACCACCAAGCGGCGCTCCCAGCCCAAACATCTTTGTCATTTGCCTTGCTGTGGGCTGAACTCAGGGCCTTGCCCTTGCTAGTCACGCCTCTACCACTTAAGCCAGATCCCCAGCCCAACTACCACTTTTGGATGAATAAAATGATAGGTAATAGGAAACTAGAGAGATCTTCTTTTGGGCAGGGAGGTGGGAGCCTCACTATTGCCCAGGCTAGTCTTGAACTCATGGCCTCAAGTTATTATTCTGTGTCGGCCTGGACAAACAGTCACGCACCACTGTGCCCAGCCTGACAACTTTCTTTAGTGACATTTAAAAACATCAGGTGTTTCACTTGCTCAAAGCTCTGGGCCCCGTGCTACACGCTCTCTGAGATGAACTGGTAACAGCGGACATGATCAGCTGGCACACAGACCGAGGCAAGTGGGGACGGGGGACGGGGCTGGCCAGCACTCGCTCACCTGGGCAATGTTGGCCTGGGAGGCCAGACGGATCATGATGTCCAGTTTCTCCAGCTTCACGTAGATGGGGTCATTGTACTTCACAAAGAACACCTTCATCTCATGTTTCAGAATCTCAGGCCTGGAGGGAAGGTAGGATGGCCAGAGAGCAAAGAAGAGCTGTAAGAAAACCCTTCCACATCTGCTGGGACATTGCAGGGGTGTGAGGCTGACAGCCAGGGAGGCAGAGCCACCACCAGGCTGCACACGCCCAGGCAGAGATTCTGCCTGGCTACTGCTAGTCTGAGAAGAGGGAGGACAGCAAAAACAGTTCATGGTTGAGAGCGGCAGGCAAGGATTCCAATCAGCCTGTGACCTCAGCCTTTCTCTTTTTTTTTTTCTTTTTTTTGGTACGACTGGGATTTGCTTCATGAATGCAAAGCAGGCACTAATGTTTCTTAACCCATGAAATAGGAATGACACTGTGCAGCAAACTGCCACCACCACTAATGGATCTGCTAGTCTTAGAAAGGCCTGGCATGTGGGAGCTTGGATTTCAGGAGTGTTCACCTGTCCCCTGGATGGTAAAGGTTGACTGCACCTGGACTATTTGTAAAAACAATACGGTTTATGTTAACACCCACTTTCCTTCTGAGCATCTGGACAGAAACATTCCGCACGTGCCGCTGTCATTTGTTGCGGGGGGGCTGTGTGCGCTGTGTCACTGCCCGAGAAGGAGGGGCCACGAGGATGCTGTGAAGCATTTCGTGTCACTATGAAAAGGAGGCGTTCGGAAGGGAAAGGAAGAGCTCAGGGACTGTGCTGCTCTGCAAGCTGCAGAGCCGGAGGGTGACTTCAGCAATCATGACTTGGCAAAAGCTGCCCAAACACAAGTCAGGCCTAAGCCAGGTCATGCCTGGGTGACACAGACAACTTCTTAAGAGATTATCATGTTAATTATAGCACAGGGAGTCCTGCACGCTGACTGGGATCCCCACGTCCCTGTCCTATAGCTACAAAGCCCAGCGGGCACTGGTATGTAAAGACCCACGCTGCACCTGGGAAGCCCTAGCCTTGTAGCTTTGTTTAAATGCTTGGGAATCTCCCCACATTTGCCCCCAAATCTTACAAAAGTTGGAGTTCAGTGTTCATCTCTGGGCGACCAAGTGTGCTAAGAAGCAGAATGATGCTGTAACAAAGAGGGCGTGCCACTTTCCAGAGAGAAAGACTATAAGGCCCCTGATGGCTGTGGGCCTGCTCCCAGCAGCGGGGCCTGCTGTAACAGGCTGGATACTCAGTGCTCTGCGGCTATTGTGAAACCCTGATGGCCAGCGAGCCACTGGACCAAAGAGTAGGAGAAGAACTCAGGAGGCCAGTCCGCCTGGGGCAGCAGGGCTCTCTCACTCAGAGCTGCCTCAGAGGAAGGAGAGGGTCAGCCTCAGGCTCAGTGCTGCTCAATGTGTTTTAGCTCCCACCCACCCCAGGCACCAGACCCCTTCGCTTAGGAGTAGTGGCTTACTGTAGTCAGACACCCACCCCACCCCACCCCAGGACTTCACTGCGGTCTTCGGACTTTGCTCTACCCCTCCCCCAGGCTCCAGGCTAGTGGCGGGGTTCCTCACTAGCTCAGAGGCCTCCAGCCTCATGGAGCCTGACTAGAGATATGGACTCTCACCCCTAGAGAAATGCACACGCATGCAAGATCTTTCACCCACTCTGGAGAGCTCTGTGGATTCTGAGCGTCCAGTGTCTGCAGAAGCAGCCCCACACCCACCTTTACCTACCAACTCCCTGAGGCTAAGCCAGGGCTTGTCAAGCCTGGCACGGCTGACATTTGGAGCCGGGTGGTTCATTGCTGTGGGCTGTCCAGCACTGCAGGACACTGAGCAGTGGCCCAGGCTTCTTCCCACTGGATGCCAGTAGCAGCAATCCAAAATGTGTCCTGACTTTGACACCTGGCCCCAGGGGGGCAAAGACCCCTGGCTGGGACCCAGGGGTGAGGCACTCAACTTCCTGTGTGTGGCAGGCCAGCTCCCCCGCCCCGTGGTCTCGGTACCTCTTCTGCACAATGAGGTTGATGTTGCGCAGTGCCACGTACTGCAGCTCCGGCTCGGCTGACAGCAGCGTGACCAGGGGCGGGGCCAGCTTCTTGAGCAGCGTGCCGTAGTAGTCCAGGTCCTTGGACAGCATCTCCGTAAATTTCATCAGCACCTTCACAGCGGACAGCACCACTGCAGAGTTGGCATGCGAGAGCCTGGGTGTCACCCGCTCACAGATGCTGGGGCCCAGCCGTTCCAGAGGTGCCAGGAGAGACAAGGGGAAATGTCCTGCTGTTAGCTATCAAAACAGCGTCTCTTCTGTGGGAGAAAGAGCTAGATTCTGGGTCTGTTGCCTGCTAACTGGCACCATGCAGGCTCAGGCACTCTGAGCCCAATCTCCTCATCTGTAAAAGTGAGCTGATGGTGCCTGCTGCACAGGGTTGCTGGGGTTACAGGGGACAACACATGGGAAGAACGAGCACAGTGCCTGGCACGGAGTAAATACCTCCAAATGGCGGCTCCCTCCCTCCCCCTACTACCGGGCAGGATATCAAGTTGGTTAAGACCAAGCGAGTCCCAGCTGGGTAACCAGCATGACTCCCACCCCTCCATGAGAGAGGCTCCTCCGCTGTAAGGTGGCAGCCGATGATGGCATGTCCTTCACAGGATGGCTATGAAGATTGTCTCTTGCGTAAAGGCAGGCAGCAGAGCCCCAGACCCCGGATAGGAATGTGATGAATGGCGGCTCTGATGCTGCCCAGAGGAGGCTGGGGTCCTTGTCAGCTCCCAGGTCAGGCTCACAGCAGGTGGAGAGCTGACTGCAGAAGCCACACTCCTACCAAGTGCCTGATGCTGGTGTGTGGTGTAAGAAACAGGTCCATTGAGGCCCGAGGTCCAGCTCAGGGCTGGAGCCTCCAGAGGACCCTGAGGGCAAGCAGGGGGAGCCTCCTCACCTCTGAGCCTCGCGGTCGTCCTTGGGCGTATAGCTAGCCAGGCAATCCAGGATGAAGATCTGGCCCCACTCAGTGCACTCGTTCAGGGCCGTCAGAAGCTTGTTGACGGACTGCGGGTTCAGACCCAGCAGGGCGCTGCCGGGGTGGGACTCGGCGATCTCGGAAAGGGCAGCTACTGCGTTTGCCACCACCTGGTCGAGAGGGTGGAGGGGCAGAGGCTGAGGGCGGTGCTGGGGTCAGGGGGCAGGGGGGTTAATGGCACTGGCTGACTAGAGAAGGGACATCCTCAAAGGAATATGGCCCGATGTACATGATGTGGGTCTCAAAGAGGTCAACCTCAAGCACTCACCCTGCAAATCCTTAGCAAAGTGGAGCTAAAATAAGGGCAGCTGCCATTGAGAAGAAACATGACAAGACTGGGTGTGGCGGTACACACCTATAATCCCAGGTACTTGGGCGGCAGAAGTAGGAAGGCACTTTGAGGCCAGCCTAGGCAAAAGTTTTTGAGACCCTATCTCAAAAACAATCTGGGCATGCCGGCATATGCCTATGAGGCGTAGAAGGGGTAAAAAAAACCCACAAAAGACCCTTCTCCAGGAGCCTGGCAATGGAAAGCAATCCCCACTGCCAACACAACGGGCCCCACTACCCGTTAAAGCAGCTAATTTCAATAGTTGTCAACATGCTTCTCAGAGCTCAAAGATTCCTGCAGACCCTTAAGCTACTAGGAGGTGATGGGCTTGCCAGGGGAAACTCTGGGCCCTCACCCCATTTTCACCAGTGCAGCACTTTTTGTGCGTGGTCTGCGATGTTCTCTAATTTCCCCTATCCCAGATGTGTCTCAGTGTACTCTCTGTTCTGGCTGCTCATACCTGAGTGACCCGTGTCTCCATGGGATAGAGAGGGGATGGCTGCTCAGTGCCTGAGTGACCCAGGAGCTTGTGCATTTCGTTACCTTTTTCTTTTTTCTCTTTTTAGATAGCACCTCACTATGTAGTGCAGGCTGGCCTCAACTTTAGATTCTCTTGCTTCAGCCTCCTGACTGTGGAGGCTGAAATGCACACGTAGAGCACATTTCATTTTAAACAGATCCTGCCAAACTGCCCCACAAACTGCTGCCAACACTGTGGGTGAGGAGACCAGGGCTCCCACCCAGCCCATCCTGTTGTCCTGTCTTCCACACTAAGCTACTTCAAGCTGACTCTATGCTCCCTGTGAGGAAATGGGAAAGGAAAAAGAACTTACAGTTGATCTTGGTGAGGAGGCAGTGACAATGAGAGGACCAGAAGGGGAAGAGGGGCACTAACATTTCTTGCACCCTCACTGAATGCCAGGCCAGGCATGTTAAGTTCCCAGCATCCCTTCCTGCCAGCCACAGAGATGAGACCCATCTTACTTATGAGGAAAAGAGAGCTGTGGAAGGTTAGCTTGCCCAAGGTCATGCAGCTAGAGTCAAAGAAGAGAATCCAGGTCCAGCTCCCTTGAACTACCTCAAGGCACAGGAACAATTAGCCACTCAGCAAAGCTCTGACTTCTAAGAACTTGGGACATCCAGGCAGAGAGTCAAGTGAATGCCTCTCCAAGCAACTCAGGAGGCAGCTGAGGTGGTGTGGTGAGTGACAGTGCTTACCATGGGGTTGGAGTCGGAGATGAGGTCTTTAAGGGTGTCCAGGAAGCCCTGGTCCTCCACCAGCTGTGCATTGATGTCATGGAGCTTGGCGACACACACGGCCGCGGTCTTGCGCACATATGGATCCTCGTCCTTCAGGCACTTCCGAAGTGGCTCACAAAGGTACTCTGTGATCTTGTCAACTCGGATGCAGCCCATAGTCCGTACAGCCAGGGCCCGGATGAGGGGGTTGGGATCCTCGCAGTCCTGCAGGGAACCAGCCATTGGTCAGGGGCAGGATGAGCCTTCTGTGGTTTCCTATTCTTCCTGGCTTCCACCTCTGACTGATACCAGGCAATTGCTGTAGGATCTCCATCAACCACAGCCAACAGAACCCAAGTAAATGCCATGTAACAGACACGGAGCATTTGCCAGAGACTGTGTGAGGGGCTCTGTACATTGTCTTCACTGGACCACACAGCACAGTACTGGTCCTGTTCCTGAGGCTCTCAGAAAGGCTGAGCACTCACCCAAAGTCACACATCCACCCAGCACCACAGCCCTCCATCTTTCCCTTGCCACAGAAACGCTCATTTTCTTTATGTGAGCGTCAACGAGCTACCAGAGCCAAGATTCAAGGACTTGCTTTGCTCCTTCTCTGGGGACAGAAAACAAAGAAAGGAGCAATCTGGTAAGGGAACAGAGCAGCTTTCAGACACTTGCTAAATCCTATCTTGGCAAAGGATGCAGGGCAATGGCCAAATCAGGGCAAAGAGAGGCCAACAGGCCAGGTATGACCTCACAGGAAATGAGGCAGGGCCACAGACGCCCAGTTTCTGGGAAGAGGGAGCCCTCTGCTGGAGGAAGAAGCTGTCAGCCTACGCCAGCAGAGGTTGTCTAAAGGTCTGTAAGGGAGCCTGAGTTTCAATCTGGGGTCATAGGTCCCACTCCACAGAGACCAAGGGGACCCAAAGCAGTTAGCAGTCCTTGCCCCTTCACGCAGAGCTCTTGCTCACCTTCACAAAGGTGTTGACAGCCATAATGGCCATGTCGGGCTGACTCTTGGCATAGTTCATCAGGTACAGGTACACCAGCTTCTTCAGCTCCAGGTTGTCTGTCTGCATGCAGTTCACCACATCAGGGAAGAGGGCACTGAAAGGTCAGAGTGGTGTCAGAAGGGGACAGGCTGAAGACCAGATTTTCAGCCAGCTAATTGAGGGGTGGGAGGAGGGGACAGTGGGCAGGAGGGAAGGAGAAAGACAAACAAGACTTCCTAGTAAAAGGGAAGGCCCGAATCATGCTGTTATCACAAACAGCCAAAACAGTGACTTTAAAACAAACAAGTCCTTTGTTCTTTTCATGGGGTTCACATGGGAGGTTTAGAGCCCATCAAGCCAACTCTGCCTCTTGCTAGCTCTGTGACGCTGGAAAACGTCCTTCAGCCTCAGCCTGTTCCCTCATTTCCAAGAAAGATGAAACAAAGACATTTCAGGGCTGGGGGAATGGCTCAGTCAGGGGCAGAAGGTTCACCCAGCATGCACAGGGCCTAGAGTTTGATCCCCAGAGCCACTAACCACTAGCACAAAACCCCTCATTTCACAGGGCACTTGTGATACTTAAGTATCTAGTCCTTGAAGTCTGGGAGGTGCTGAGGAAACAAAATGATTCTTCCCCTAATGTGGCCCTTACATTGGGCTGCTGGTTCCAAAAGGTGACAGGGAAGCAAGATGAGCCATGCTGCTTCACAGGCCAGCTCTGACACCCATTAAGAACCAGCAAAGCATGGCTGGAACACACACTGTATGCCAGGCTTGGTGCTAAGGGCTCGACACACTTCATCTCATTTAAAAGCCCCACGAAGTCAAGAGGGCAACACCAGGTCATCAACAGTACTGACGCTCAGAAATGTCAAATAACCGTCTTGAGGGGGTAGGTCTGATTCCGTGACCCTTGCGCTAAACTGGGTGGAACCCTTTGCAACATGGCACCCAATGGTCTTAGTCACGGGACCTCTTGAGATGTGAAATATAGAGGCCAACTTTCTGTGTCTGGAACATCACCTCCCCTCTCAATTCTTCTGCTTTTATTGGCAAGGACTTGGCAACATAGCTGCTTAAGAGGTCAAGGTGAACTTCCTCAGCCCCAGAGGCAAGGTCTCTGTAGCTGAAGTGGATGCATCACCTTGGAAGATGACATACCAGGACGCAGGACAGGAGGAGGAAGTACTGCCAAGCCTGCCTTGCTCTCTGGGGCCCATTCTACCAGCAAGGCAAGTGCTTTTGAGGTGGAAGAACAAAGATGTTTCTTCTGTGAGGAGGTGACAGCAGTGTTCTAGCTGAAGGAAAGCGGCTTTTGTTCTAGAAGGAACTGGACTTGGAAGGAGGCCTAGTTCACCAGCAAATGCCCAATCCTTTTGCACTGACCTCAGCAGGCCTCGAGCTGTTTCTCCTGAGTCTGGGTGAAGAGGGCCTTGCTAGGGCAGCAATAGGATGGGCAGTCATGGGAAAGTCTGGAGCAGTGCAGTAGCATGGCAGGACCTGGCTGGAGAGCTGTCCCACATGAGCCCTGGGTCTCTGAGGCACAGAGGACAGGATCTGGACAAAAGCAGCCTCGTTTGGATTTCAGAAAGGCTGTGTTTCAGTATTCCTGCTACTATTAATCACGTGACTGTTAGGCAGTCATTTCCTCATTCTTTATCACGTGTCGTTGGCACTAAAAACATCATTTTCAGCTGGCGAGCAGTGGCTCACACTTGGAATCCTAACTACTTGAGAGGCTGAGATCAGAAAGAGTGTGGTGAGAGGCCAGCCCAGGCAAATAGTTTGTGAGACCCCATCTCAGCCAATAGTCACCTGTCATCTCAAACTACTTGGGAGGTTGAGCTTGAGAGGACTGTGGTTCTAGGACAGCCCAGGCAAAAAAGTGTACACAACACGAGAACTATCTAGACTTGTGCTGGGTGACAGGAAGAGAACAAATGCTGACTTCAGGGCAGCAGGCTGGGATGATGAGGGAAGGCAACAGGAGAAGGGAGGCCCTGGGTAGGTCTTAAATGATGGGAAAATAAGCTGGCCACATGGCCTTCCAGGGGGCGGAAAAGCCTGAGCAAAAGTGTGGCAGCTATCCTGCACGTGACACGCTCCAGCTGTTAGGTGTAAACCTGAGGTTGCAAACTGGCAGCAAATTAGAGAAATCCAATCTGCAGGGGTGTATGTTTTTAATATCATCTGGCAATTTAAGACAAGGAGCATTAAAATGAAAATCCTATTTCCCATTTTTTTTTAAAAACCAGGAAACCTGGCCATACTGGGTTTATCATCCCTGACAGCAGCAATCCTCTAGAGCTTCTCAGAGGGTCCACTTCCCTCATGTCGTTATCACCTGAGTCATCAGCGTTTGAGCTCATGACTCCTGTGCAAACAAAGCCTTCCATTGGGAGAGAAGCTCACGAAGGCAGTGGTATGAGGGGAGCCATGGGTTCTTAGGTGCCTGTCAGGACAAATCTGAACTGGACCCAATCTACGAATTCTCCTGTCAGCCAGCATCTGGTGACCACCCAGCCTACTCCCACACACCTGACGTCTTTGCCCACAGTCATCGATGCGATCACTTTCTTTACTGCTTCCTTCTTCTTCTCCTTCTTGTCACTGTTGAGCTCTGCCTTCAGCTCGAAGATCTCCCCTGAGAAAAGGGGGCAGGCATGAGTGATCAATGGAGATGAGTGCCTGCCCCAACTTCCCAAAGATATGGAGGGAGGTGAGAGGGCAGTTTTAGGCCCTTGGCCTCAGGTGGGACAGTCAAAAGTAAGGGATGGTTAGGAGAGGAATTATCAAGACGGAAGTGTGGAGGCCATGATGGAAGTAACAGGAGTGACAAAGGTCCTGAGGAAGACAAAAAGCATGTAGGGAAGGCCTGCTCAGCCAAGCTGCTGCAAATGCAGAGGGCAGCAAAGATTTCCTCAAATACCTCACTCAGGCTGGTGGAATGGCTCAAGTTGTAGAGCACGTCTAGCAAGTGTGAGGCCCTGAGTTCAAACGCCAATACTACACACACACACACACACACACACACACACACACAGAAAAACAAAAATCTCACTCAACCTGAGGCCCTCAAGGCTAATCCTTGGGTGCTCAGGGACTGCAGGGAGAGAACAGGATCTGATCAATCCCACACGTAGGCTTTTCCTGTTTTCCTAGAACCTCAAGTTCAAACAGCTTGCTCAGGGTTTCACTTCCTGAGCTACAAGGGGTTGCTCAGCTTGGAAATGGGAATTTGGTTGCCCCAGGGAGTTCCGGCATGCACCAACCACATTGTAAGAACTTGATGATGTAGAAAAAGGAAATGAGGAAGCAGGGTTGTTCTGGGCCCTGCTGGGAGAACAGTCAAGACGGTTAACAGGTTAGGAGGGCAGATTGAATTTCCTGAGCCTTTCTCTTCACCTGGTGCCAGATCTTTCCCAAACCCCTTCTCATTTTGTCACACCAACAGATGAGTAAGTGGAGGCTGTCAGAGGTCCAGTAACTTTCACACAATCAGCAAGTGAAAGGGCCGAGATTCAAAACCAGATGTGTTCTCTCAAAACTCCTAGGCGTGGGCCTGTCCAGGTTGCCCTTGTCTCTCTGCACCTCTTTTGTCACCTGTCCTGCCCCTTGACTGGGCACTGAGCTCTCTCACTAGTGCTCAGCTTAGTGGTAGCTGCTGCTGCTGTTAAGTTCCCACGTGATCCTCTCTCTTTTTTTCTTTTTTGGCAGCACTGGGGTTTGAACTCAGGTCCTCACACTTGCTAGGCAGGCATGCTTTTACTGATTGAGCCACAACACCAGTCCCTTTTGGATGGGATTTCTCAAGATAAGGTCTCCTGAACAATTTGTTTGGGCTGGCTTTGAACCATGATCCTTCTGATTTGTACCTCTGGAGCAGCTAGGATTATAGGCGTGAGCCACTCGTGCCCAGCTGATCCTCTGTCTTTAGACCCCTCTTTGTAGAATGAGTCTTGGGTTTCCTTCTCAAGTTACTTTGAGTAGAGATAAAGGAGAGACTCTTACGTGAGGAAAGTGCTGAGAAAGTTCTAGATGGATTTACAATGTGAGAAAACAAAATGAAACCGGGCACTGGTGGCTCATGCTTGTAATCCCAGCTACTTGGGAGGCAGAGATCAGAAGGATCATAGTTCAAAGCCAGCCTAGGCAAATAGTTAAGAGACCCTATCTTGAAGATACTCATCACAAAAACGGGATGGCAGAGTGGCTCAAGTGGTAGAGGGCCTGCCTAGCAAGGGTGAGGCCCTGAGTTCAAACCACAGTACCCTAACAAAGGA